CCCTCCGCATTTGTACATTCTGATTTATAAATTTGAAATCTGGGGGGTGAATAATTCTGAGGTAAATGTGTAAACATGTTCAAAGTTGGGTGGCAATACTTCAAACACATGCACAGCACTCAATAAGTGGTTTTGAGACTAGACATGCTTCGCTGATTTTTTAGCTCTGCGAGTCATCCTATCATGCAAATAAGTCTTATTCCAGAATCCGATCATGCAGGTGTGACTTACTCCAGAATATGGCCATATGCAGTCATTTTGCTTTCTGTAAGGTTGCTCTCACATGTAGAGGTCTACGCTTGAACACATGTAAACAGATACAAAATTGTCACACTTTTACTCTTAAGTTACCAGTAACATCTTCTGAAGCACACATAAAACGTTGCCTCAAAACGCACGATGCTGCCTGTAAACATGCCTGCCCTCATATTCAAACACACCACTTCATTCACACATGCACAAATACCTAAGTGCACACTCAAATCTGTGTACAGTCACCTCCACTCACAAAGAAACATACACAAGGGAATAGTGGGTATTGCAGTCCTCTCTTGTGCATTCACACACATCCTTAATTTGAACACACAAAAAAAGATCACACCAACATAAATATCACATACACACACTTGATTGCATATTCATTATTTTCATATAAGGCTGATTCACACATGCACACGTCAGTTGATTTCTTATCACTTGATGAGAGACAGGCAGCTGAATGTGTGAATGCTCCATTGAAAAATATTGCATTTGAGGTGGAGTCACCAAGTGATCAGTTGTGCATGAAGGAACCAGCTCTCAGATACCAACTGTCCGTCTCTTAGGTGCCTTTTAGAATGCACAGCCAGAGCCAAGTAGACACACCATCAACATAGCTATGGCTGTGGTCCTTTGCATTCATCTGGGAGAAAGAGATACAAAACAGGGTGCAGTTTATTTCTGAGTAAACTGAGCACAGGATCACGTTGCCGGGCTTACAGCATAGTGTTCTCCACACAAAGAATACAAAGTCATTTCAGAACACTCATGCTGCGACACACACACACACACACACACACACACACACACACTATGCATACCATGTCATCCCAACACAGAGATCCCTGCACACACTCACAACACATGGATCCATCCTCAATTACAGATTTCTTCATATACAAATTCTGCTCGCACCTATAGTTACTTACTACACCCTTACACACAATACATACATTTAAACCCACATACTCATTTCTGCACCCAAACTCATCACATGCATGTATCACTGCAAACAGACACAGGCCATTTCCCTTACACACAAATCCACCATATAAACCCATTTTAAGATAGGCAGAAATGCATTGCCCCGTATGTCACTTCCTATCTTAACCAGCGTAATCCTACCTAAAGAGACCCATTACTCTCTGTACATGCATCTCCATCTAAACAGTTTTCAATGAAGAAAGAACCCAAACGTCAACTTTTTAATTAAAACAAAAGCCCCTGAATCCAACTTTTCAAAACTTCCATTCTTACATTGATTTATTTGTTTGAGGGATAGTTTTAAAGAACTAAACATTAAGGTTCTGTAGATGCATTTTTAATGCAATAACATGTTCATTTGCTGAATTTAGAATGCATTACATATTAATTTTCAAAAATCACTAAATTCAAAAGTATCCATAACAGTATTTAGTTATTGCATTGATTTCCTGACTCCCCTTCTTCCGAAGATTCCTGCACTGCAGTCAGTTGGACTAAATAACCCTCATGGTCCCTTCCAGCTACAATTCTACGATTCTATGATGAAACCTAAGGTGGTATACACACACAGGCTCCCACCCTGGCCTTGGCCCAAATCGAGATCAGTCTTCATTTCACCTGGGCAGGCTGCATTATGTGTCTAGGAATAATAATAATAATAATAATAATAATAATAATAGGTGGGTGTTTGTTTGTTTATAAAAAGAATAATATGAATTTAGAGGGCAAGGGAAATGCAGGCAAAATTGGGTCAGGAGAAATTGTTTGAGAATCTATTTTTTCCTCCACATGTATTTTAAGTCTCTATTATGCACTCATGCAAACCCTCCCACATTCTTTCTCTCTCACTAGTTTCTCCTTCCCACTCCACTCCACTTTCCCTACTTCTTCATCTCACAGCCCAGGAAATTGGATGGTGCGGCAATAGTGCTGGAGAAGAGACATTTGCCTCCTCACCTGCCTAAAGCCAAGCCAATTCTCTCTTTTGTACTGAGAAACATTGCACAGCCACACAGACACACACAGTCCCCCTCTGCAACGACACAAGAGTACAGGAGAGGGGGGTGTTGGGACTGGGTGAGCTACAGGCCAAGGAGGTTCCTTGGAGATGGCCAAGGGTTGTAGCCAAAGCTGGTTCTTCTCAGTGCAGACCACTGAAATGAATAGGCATGATTAACTTAGGCCCACGAATTCTAGTAGGTCTGCTCTGAGTACAGCTAGCACTGCACATACTGGTAATCCCCAGTGTAAAACTTCATGTGCAGGAAAGGGGAGAAGGAAGAACTGGAGGGGAGGATGGATAGGTCAGAGGGGACTATAGAGAGGGAAGCAGAGGCCATAAGGAGGAGGAAGTAGCCATGGGGGGAGGGCAAACAGTGGGGCACTGAAATTTCAAGGGATAGCATGGGATAGAGGGTGAACTGGGGTGACCCACCAATGGGAGTATAGGAGAGCAACCACAGCTAGGAGGGAGAGAGGAGATTTAGGGGGAGGAACCCCACAAGAAAAGTGCAGGTGCACTGGGGTCAAAAGTCATGTGGGAGAAAGTGGGGGCAAGGAGAAGACTGAAGGGGTCCTAAAGGTGGAGGAGAGCATAGAGGCTACCTAGACCCTCAGCTTCAGGAAGATAATCATCAGGGTCCGTAGAGAAGTCAGCAAGGGAAGCCGGGTCTACTGCAGGAGGCAGGATCTGGCCGAAGATAGGAGGAGGAGCTGAGAGAGAACCAGAGTCAAGTGGGGCAAGAGTGGGGAGTCATGGGGCAGATAGGTTTCTACCTAGAAGAGAAAAAGAAATTGGTTCGTTAGTGTAAAGGGGGGGGGGAGAGTCGGAGCCCAGCAGGTGCAGCAGTATGGGGAGAGGGCTGGGAGTCGGAAGTGGGGGAAGTGGGAACTGGAGGAGATAGCAAGGAAGGAGGGAGGGAGGGAGGGAGGGAGGGAGGGAGGAGGGGGTCAGTGGAGAAGGAAAACTGGCTGGTGGCCAAGAGAGGGAGAGATGAATTGGGAAGCGGTCAATGGCAGCGGAAGGACAGTGCAGAAGCAGTAGATTTAGTCTCCGTTCGAGAGGAAGGGGACGTTGAAGAAAGGGGGCGAAGTGAAGGAGAAGCAAAAAGAGGGGGGGTCTGGGAAGATGGGGCAGGAGGCAAGGAAGGAGAGAGAGAGAGAGAGAGAGAGAGAGAGAGAGAGAGAGAGAGAGAGAGAAGGAAGGGTGGTAGAGGGGTGAAACGAGTCGATATAAAAGTGAGCAGGGTGCTAAGATTGGGTGGGTAGTTCTCGTGGTGAAAGAGATGGGGAGAGGGGACAGAAGAGGCCCCTGAATGAGAAGAAGTGGCATTTCTCCTACACGTGAAGCTCAGGCGAGCATCTATTTTGCCACCATTACACTTTGAGTGTGGAGATTGCAGAGCTGCTTCCAAACTTAATGTGGTAAAGGGGCAAACTAGGATCTGCCTGATTTCTGTGCAATGAGGGAGATATGAGGGCAAGTCTCCGTGCAGGAAAAGTGTGTGTGAAGTGACCCTAGGCTAAGCAGAGGATGGAGGGGGGAAAGGCAGAAGTTCCCAGGGAAAGAAGGACAGCGATAAGAGAGTAGAGAAGGGAGATGTGGCAACACATGGAAGCAGGGAAGGAGAGGAGACCATGAAGAAGGAAGAAAGGAGAAGAGGAAGAGGGTTGATGAGGAAGACAAAGTCAGCAGAAGAAAGGAAAGGGGTAGAAGGAGGGAAGGATGTGAGGCTGTGACAGAGAAGAAATGAATGAAGGGTGAGAATGAATGGAGGACAGAAAAGAGGGGAGAGAGGGAGGCCAGAGAGATGAATGGGTATCCTAGGACTTGGAGATAATGATGGCAGATCTGCATGGACAGGCACTTGGAGAGGATAATGGAGCGCCAGGGGTGATGGCATGAAGCCTGCAGTGAAGGACTGCCGTGATGGTCCACAGGGGTCGAAAAACGATGGTGGCAGAGGGCTGTGGAGGGAACTGAAAAAGAGAAGGGGATGCAGAGGGCAGGAGGGAGGGGGAGAGAGAGATGAGGGGGGTAGAAGGAGGGAAGGCTGTGTGTGAGGATGGAAGAGATGGAGTGGGAGTGACAGAAAGAGGAGAGAGTGATAATGGCAGAGGGATGCAGTGGCAATGTCGGTCATTACGAGAGGGATGGGAGGAAGGAGAGGAGAGTGGAGAAGCGTACATGGTGGGATGGGGAGGGCGAAGGCGTAACGCAGCAGGGAGCGCGAGTGGCCAAGAAGCGCCATGGAGGGAGCGAGAGGAAGAAGGGGTGAGGATGGCAGGGGCCACGGGGCGCGGACAATGGAAAGGACGGCGGTCCGAGCGGAGTGTCGGCGTGCGGATGGATGGATGGTGGGACGGGAGCGATGGAGGGCAGCGAGCGGAGGGAGAGCGGCCGAGGCTGCGGAGGACTGTGGCGGAGCAGCCGTCCGCACTCACCTTCCCTGTCCCTTTCTCTCTCTCTCTCTGTCCCTCTCTTTCGCAGACCCCGGCGCTGCGCCGCGGGCTCTTTCTCTGCCAACTCCTGCCTCCTCCTCCTGCTGCTGCTACTGCGCCCGCCCCGTCTAGAAAGAGCCTCGCCCCCCTCCCCTCTTGGCCGCGCTCCCTCCTGCCTTCTCCTTTCCCCGCGGCAGGAGGGGTGGGGGGAGAGGGGGTGGGCCGAGGAGGAGGAGGGGCCAGGATGACGCCTCGCGCCCTGATTTGACACCTGCGCACCGTCGGGGGGCGGCCCCCCGCCTCGGCCCGCGCCGCCGATGCTGAGCTCAGTGTGCGTCTCCTCTTTCCGCGGGCGCAAGTCTGGGAACAAGCCGCCGTCCAAGTCATGTTTGAAAGGGGAGATGGGCCGGAACGAAGACAACGACAAGATAGTCATCAACGTGGGCGGCATCCGGCATGAGACGTACCGCAGCACCCTCAAGACCCTGCCGGGCACGCGGCTGTCGTGGCTCACCGAGCCCGACGCCTGCAGCAACTTCGACTACGACCCCAAGGCCGACGAGTTCTTCTTCGACCGGCACCCGCAGGTCTTCGCCTACGTGCTCAACTACTACCGCACGGGGAAGCTGCACTGCCCGGCCGACGTGTGCGGGCCCCTCTTCGAGGAGGAGCTGGCCTTCTGGGGCATCGACGAGACCGACGTGGAAGCCTGCTGCTGGATGAACTACCGGCAGCACCGCGACGCCGAGGAGGCCCTCGACAGCTTCGAGACGCCCGAGAGCCAGGACGATGAGGAGAGCGGAGACCTCAAGCGCCACTGCCTGCAGGAGGACGGGCGCAAGCTGGGCCGGTGGGCCGCCATGCAGCCCAAGGTGTGGGCGCTCTTCGAGGACCCCTACTCCTCCAGGATGGCCAGGGTGAGTAGCGCGGGGCTGGGGGCTTGGGGCACCCACCCGCTCACCTAGATGCTTCCTCGGGCTCACCTGATGTGGGCAGCATGGAGGAGCAGGATAGAGATACCTATGGCTGCTGCTGCTGCTGCTATTGCTGTTAGCATCGTGACTACTAGCATTGAGGCTCTTGTCCCCACTAGTGGCACAGGGGAAGGCAAGCAGGGGAGCGGGGAGGCAGGGTCCCTGCCCCCAGGAACTTACAGATCTAAATGTTGACAAGAGGAGTCAGGGGAGAGTAGCAGAATAGGGGCAAGCATGGTTAAGGCTGGCAGAAGTTAATCCCACTCTGTTCATTGGGGTTTATTGCCAAGGAAGTGCAGAAAGGTTTGAGGGCAGCCTTGGTTTGTGTAGGGGAGAGGAGAGGCGAGCATCCTAGCTTTTCTCTCCCTCCCTTACACTGAGTCAGGTCCCAGGTGCATTTAGCCCAGAATGACTACTCCGACAGGGGATGGCTTTGCAAGGTCTCAGGCAGGGTTTTCCTCAGTCCTGCTACTTTTCACTTGGAGAGGGAAAAATTAAAGCTGGGACCGTCTGAGTCCAAAGCATGAGCTCTGCCTCCCTGAACTGAGTTCGTTCTCCCAGTCTCTGGTTATGGCTGGAGGTGGGACAGAGTAAGCAGGAGAAATTTCTCTTTAAATGTTCTTTTGCTTGTTTCGCAATTGTCCCTTGGCTCTGTTCAACAGCAGGCCTTCTAGCCTTCTTCTTTGCTGTAAACCCTGACAACTTCCCAAAGAAACCTTCCCCCCCCCCCGATATTGTACTTTTAAGAGAAAGGGGTGCAAGGGGCAGGTGGAAAAGGTGAGATGTAAATAGTCAAGAGTGGAGGTGCAGGCTAATGTTGGAGGTGCAGTTGAGATGTGCAAGACTTGTCCCGAGCGAAATGGGCAATGGCACAATGCGCAGACTAACGCAGAGGGACTGGTGTGCAAGGGTCCATGTGCAATGCTTGGTAAGCATGGATGGATGTGGAAATGTGGCGGGGGGGGGGAGAGAGAAGGATGTGTGAGTGGCACTAGGTGCTGGAGGTGAAGGCAGATTATGCAGTAGAAAAGATGAGGTTGCCAGTCTGAGTGTGCAAACAGAACAGACTGAGAAATGGAGATGTTCTGCAGGCAGGGATGTTTTTCAGGAGCTGATGGCACCAGTCACATCTTAGGCACACACAAGCGATGTGCACCGTGCACTGAAGTGCCCTGTAGAGAGAACATATAATAAGTCAGATGCTGCAAACAGACATCTAGAAGAAGGAATGGTTGGCTGGGAGAATACAGAATGTGGAACGGAGAATGGTGCAGGTTTCAGAGGTGTGCAAGGGCACTGGAAGAGGTGCACTCAGCCATGTTGAGGCATGAAAAATGTTGCAGAAAATAGGAGAGGTTAATGTGCAGGCTAAGAGGGGGTGACTGAATGAGCCTGAATGATAGAGAGGGGCAGTGATTCCGGTTCAGGGAAAGCGTACAAGAGACCCAAGTGTGAGAAATGGAACTCTAAGGAGAAAGGAGCATGAGGAAAGGAAGGGGGATCATGCAAGGAATGCTGCTGGTGGCAGTGAAAACGGGGTGCAAGAAAAAAAAGTTGAGCTCAAGAGTTGAGCACCACGGGACACGAGCGTGCGAATGAGTGTAGTAGTGTGTAGCAGCAGGAGGATCCAGACACGCATGCGCTGGGCTTATGACTTGCTTATCGGTGTCAGGGTGAATGCCTTGATCTCCAGCAGGAGGTGCTGCTAAAACAGCTCCAAGTCCTTTCTTCACTGTCCCCCAAAATAAGGTCCCCTGTCCTCCTCCTCTCTGGTCTCCCCCATCCCCTCCACACACAGTTTATCTCAGGTCTCACTTGCGCCCTTCCTGAATTTTGGAATCCTCTGGTCTCACTGCAGTTTTGCGTAGTCCCCCCGCCCCCACTGCATGCCCCACTGCCAAATCTAGGGATCTTACATTTTCTCTCCATTCAGCCCAAATCGACATCATCTATCCAGGGAGAAACTCCAGATCTCCTCCCCCAATCTTCAGCAATGCAGTTCTGAATTGGCTCCCCCCCCCCCTTCCCAGTGTGCTTGAATAATGCTGCTCAAAACTGCCCCCTTCCCAGACACTGCAGTTTAGAATCCCCCATCCTGCACTGCACCCCCAAATATCGCTCCCCTTACTGCATCCCCCCCGTTCTTTTTCCCTTTTCTTTTTTTAGCCTATGCAGCTAAAGCCTTTCCTGTATAACTTCTTTTTGCAGAGCAGCTGAAGGGGGGGGGGTAATGAAAGACTGCTGCTTGTTCTCTCTCTCCTTTACCTCTAGGACAATATTAGTGCTTTGCTATCTCTAGAACTGCAGAGCCAGCGGGTTGAGAGGGGGGGGAGGGGGCACCGCAGTGCAGTGTGGAAGCCCCAGAGTTTGCAGTGCAAAGCCGGCATTCTGCAATCCATTTCCCCTCCCCTCGCCCCAGGCAGCTGTTCTCAAGGGTGCAAGGCCTGTCCGGTCCCTTTATTCAGCCCCCCCTTCCTCCCCCATGCAGTTGGGAATGCAGCCAGAAAAAGTTACAGCAGGGAGGAAGAGAGGGCAGGAGTGTTGGGGAGCCGGGAAAGGAGGGGGTTTGCTGGCAGTGGGAGCCAAGAAACCAACGGGACTATGAGGCAATGCTGCATTCAGGTGGACATCACGTCAGGGATTCCATAAACAGAGGAGCTGGTTGAGAACCGAAGCCAGCATCTCCCCACTACCAGCCGATATAACGGTGGCTCCCCACTTAATGCATTTACAGAAATGGCATATGTGTGCTATAACTACAGTAGCGCCCCCCCCCCCCGCAACCTTCTCTCTTTGGGCATTTGTGCATGAATAAGAGAAAGACGCAAATCAGTACTGAAGTTTGCAAAGTTGGGGGGGGGGGAGTTGAGGTTCGTGCCCCAAGCACAGTGTTTGAATTACCTGCTTATGAAAAAGGATGCGAAGAGATTGGCCCCCATCCACCACTATCCTCGCCATTCAGGCAGGCAGAAGGAAAGAATATGGACTGGGGAAGAGGAAATAGAAAACCATATTGGTGGACAGCATAGTGAATAGATTGATGGGTCAAAATGCACTTCTGAATAATGCTTCTCCAATACGCAAAGACACATTTCCTTCGTTTTCGTTCACTCTGCACACACCAGCATGCATATTTTATAGTGATGCATAGGCAGGCTGGGGCTACAAAATCTGTACCAGAGCATATTTGTTAGCTGCATCTAAGTCCCTACATATCAGAGAGGGGTAAAGTATGTGCGTTGAGAGAACAAATAGACAATGATTGAATAAAGACAGACATGGAGATCCTCTTCTTCCTCTCCTTCCCAGATCTTTTCACACCACAATCGTTCTTTTTAAGTTTGGCTTTTCTCTATCAGTTTGCACCTTCTTTTAAACTGGACTGCGTCCCAGCGTTGATCCTGGAAGCACTTCAAGTCCCTTCATGGTATATAGACAAGGAAAAAGTTCCAAAGGGGCAGCTGCATTAATGTGGTGCACCAAATATAAACCAAGAGGCAACCTTAAAAGTTTTGTCACAGGCTCAACGGCAGTTCCTTGAGTAATTATGTATAATCATGTATATATTCTCATTTGTGTGGGTAGAGAAACACATTATATAACATAATTTGATTAAACCCAATGTAATTCCGAGCGTGTTTGCTTGGAAGTTCAGTGGGACTTTGCAGCTAGCAAATGTGCTCAGGGTTGCAGTCTCAAATTGTCATTTGTAGTGTACAAATGGCGTTTACTCATAAATTAAAGACAAAGTGCAGGTATGTGTACATATGCCTGTATGCAAATGGAAAGCATAAATATATGTGCTCACGACTGATATTTCCCTTTACATTTCTCCCAACACTACTATTTTGTACTTTAACCACGTTTGAAGTATGGCATGAGAGTTTATTTCTTCATTAGCTGTGTGGACAGCAAACTCATACGTATACTCACAGCTACATAACAATTAGGGGGAATATCACAGGCAAAGCAGCTTCATCTTTGTAATAAGGTTCCTGTATATTATATTATATTTTATATTATATTATATTATAATATGATATATTTTTAGGTATACATGCACGAGGGAACAAAGTATGGCCACGTAACTCAGACAAGCCTGTTTTCAGTACACAAAGGGTTATATGGAATAAATGGGGAATGTGTTCTTTCAGGGAGCATGTTTAAAATGATGAAAATCAGATAAGTATCATTTACCACTGCATGCATTTTTAACGCCCAGATCCTTGTTCAGGGCAAATCTGCACTTTTTAATCAAATTGGGAACTAGGAACCCAGACTTCAGCATCATATAAAATGGATGATTTTTTTCTTTTCCTGCCAGCCTTGCAAGGGAAGTTCTGAGTTAAAACCCAATATACCCTTCTCTGTAATCAGCTATAAAGTTGAACCTTGGACCAAAAAAGGTTGATGCATCCAAAGTATTTGTGTCTGTCCAGCAGACTGAGAGCCAGTACCAGCTTCTGCGCTAAGGGAATTTATTTTTAACCAAGTTCACCTCTGCCTCTCCATCCCATCCTCACCTGTGATGTGCAAACATTGCTTTTATTCTTGAGGCTGAAAGAGAAGGCAAAGTCTTTTTGTCCTATAGGAGGCACTAGAGAGACAGTGCCAACACTGCAACAGAGCCGAGTCTTTCTTTTATCCTTTTAGCAAACTCTGCACAAATTTCCGTGTCCCTTTGCTGGAGATCCTTGCTGTGCCCCCTTCCCTTTCATATTAATTCTCTGGCTTTCGTCTTCCCTGCATGATTAGCAAGCCAGTGCAGAAATTCTGGTTCAGCTTCTTAGGGAATTCAAAGGAGAGTAGATATGTGGGGGAAGGGAGGGGGGAGAGAGGATTTTTTTTTTAAAAAAAAGGCTTTTAATGACTCTTGTGAATAATGACTGCAGAAAGGGAACAGATTCCAGATGCTGGCAAGAGCCAGCTACAAAGGGTGGCTTCTCTTATTTATTACAATGTGGGGCTCAAGCATCTCAATTTTCTAGTCTCCCCTTGTGCTAGTTTAAACACCTCCTCACTCAGAGAGTTCTGGCATTCAGCAGCCCAATTCAAATTTGCCAGCCTCCATTCTTGTCCCAAAGGCTACAGAAGTTCTGGTCCTGAACACCATTTTAACCCACCAGCCCATCTCCTTCTCCAATGAATCTAGGAGACCTAGTTGCCAGCTCTCACTGTTTTAACCTCCTAGACTCAACACTCCTCTAATTCAACTACCCCTATCCCAGTATATCCACTCCCCTGATTTAAAAAACCAGCAGTTCTAGAGCAGTTCTCATATTTCCCCCTGCAAATCCAACTTCTTTCATGGCAATTGGGGAATTGTCATTGCCATTGTCCCTCCTCATTTCACGCTCCTGGAGCCTTATCTGCTACCTACTTGGTGACCCAGTAAATCTCCCCTTGTATTCCCTAGAGTCACTCTTTGTCCCCCAAATCAAGAGTCCTGCCATGTAATTCTGCCTCTGCTCTTAAACCACTAAACTCAGTGGGTCAAAATTTCAGATATCCAGTTAACTGAATACGGATTCATAGTGCAGGTTAGAGCGGTAGGTACTCTTAAAGCCTTCTGTCCACTCAATTTCCTTCCAAGACCAAGATGATCCTGGCTTTGCACGTACATACATACGCACGCACACATCCCAACTCAGTAATTCCAGTCTTTCCACAGAAGCTCTTGCATATTCTTTCAAACATGCATTCTCACACTCTATCACTTTTGATCCTGTGTGACCTCAGTGGTGCCATCTGTGCCCCACTCAGAATGAAAGGAAGCCCTCTTCCTGCCCCGCCAATGCAGCAGGACTGGCTTACTGCATTTCAAAGTAAGTGAAGATATATACATTGCCATCTAAACAGGGACCCCATGTGGGACCGCACTGTCCACAATCTTAACTTACTTCACTGCACCGCCGTGTGGCTTTGCTCAATAACTCAGCAATTCGAGCATCCCATTCCTTCCCTACTTTCTGTCAATCTGTAGACTCACCCCCTGTTTTCAGTTCACAGAGCCCAAACATCTTTACTGTCCGTTTGGTCCTCTCTCCTCACTATCTGACCCCTCTACATACCCTTCACAGAAACCCCTGGAATTTCAGAAACCCCTCTTGCCAAATCACACTTTACTCCTTTTCATCAACTTTTCCTCTGAAAATCATGGGTGCCTGGGGGTCCCTGAGCAATCCTTTACCCACAGCTCTCCACAGGAAGCAAATCCCACCCCCACTCCCCCTCCAGTATTGTGGAAAGATGCCCACTTTTACCCCAGGCGCTGAAGGACTATTGCGGTTTAATCCATTCCCTCCCCTTCATTCCTTGCCGCTCTCCATGGTACTGAACTGCAGTGTTACATCCAGTAATAGCGGTAGCAAAGGGAGAGAATTCACACACACACACACAGAGAGAGAGAGAGAGAGAGAGAGAGAGAGAGAGAGAGAGAGAGAGAGAGAGCTTTCTCCCTGCCTGTAAGAATTGTTGATAGAGGTTATTCTATGATGCTATGTATAGAGAGAGGAAGAAAATGATAGAACTGGAGAGAAAATTAATGAATTAGTACACTGTGTCAGGTGGGGGGCGGAGTTGACATACATAATGTCCAGTTCAGCCATTAATACTCTGAAGAAAGGGCCAAAGAACTGCAGCCTCGGGTGCCCCCCCTTTTTTTTTTTAAAAAAAAGGCTGGCATTGAGGTGTGTGCATTTGAGAGCAAGGTCGTTTGAGCATCTTTACTTTGTTGCATAATAGTTTAATGTGACACAGATTTCACATGAGGGGGTGAGGGAGCTGAAAGATGGGGTGAGAAAGGATGGCAGCCAAGGCCATGTATATATCGGGAAGTCTGCCTTGCTTTCTGAGCTCCTGGGCCCCTTATTGTGCCCAGGCAGAAGGATGTATGTGTGGTAGACTTTGGAAAGAGCAGCAAGACCATAATATGGGAATAGTGAGGAGACTGGAGAAGGGAGAGGCTGTCTTAGCCTTCTCCACAAAAATGCTGACTTCTGTTCAATAAATACTCCAGGACCCCAGACCTGAAACCGGTCTGCTAAATTCCCTCGTCCTCCGCTGCCTCTCCAGTGGCCTTTACGCCCCTCCCCATTTTTCTCCCCTTCCAGAAGGGAGCTAAATCACAGCTTGTTTTCTACCTCTGGCCTGAAATCAACCTTAAGTCTTTCCCCTCTCAACACTCCTTCCTCAGTTTTTTCTCCATCCTTCAGCCTCTGACCCCTGCCCATAAACCCATGCCTTCCCCCCTCTCCTTTTTGCTGATAATGTATCTGCTAACCTTCACCTCACAGATTTTTCTCAGCACCTTTTTCTTTACCTCACAGTTCTTTCTTGACCTCCATTCCCCAGTTTTCTTCTTATCATGCTCCCTGCATTAAGCCGAACTTTGTTCCAAAACACCTTCTCCAAACCATTCCGCTCACTGTGTTCTCACTGCCAGCCCGCTCTGCTGCTCCCCACTTGTGAGACACTTGCAGCAGTCATCACCTTACTCTAGAGCTTCCTCGATGAGGGGGGAAAGAATGAAATGCATAACTCCGATGAAGCGGACTCTCTAGTCCAGAAAACCTTACGCCATGGAAAAAAAGAAGTGTTGATTTTTCAGGGGCCACACGATGCAGCAACAGACTGACATGGCCAGCCCCGTGAAACATGAAAACAAGAAGCACTCCAAAATAATTTCAAAATCCACATTAGGGCAATACCTTTATTAGGTCAACCAAAATATTACAAACCGCATGCAAGCTTTCTCCAGAACCTTTCCTTTTCATGTGTCTCCAAAGTAAGTGATCTGATGAGGGTTGCAGCATAAGGCCCCTTCTGCACCCTTCATATGCATGCCGTTGTTTGAAGTTCAACTTATCTCTAAAACTACCCATATCTGCTATATCGGCTTATTGTGCCTACCTCCACTTTCAAATATCTTTGCTGGAAACAGATCTGACACCAGTTATCCTCAGGACGTCATTGCAGCCTGAATCACAGTCCTCTGCAATGACCTAACTTGTTACAATGCCCCTTTATATAACTTCCATCCATACAATATTAAGTTAATACTATTAACCATTCCGTGTGTGTGTGTGTGTGTGTGTGTGTGCGCGCGTGTGTGTGTGTGTGTGTGTGTGCAAGAGGCAGGGAGGGGTTACTTGCTCTTCTTTGACATCTTTCATCATACCGTACTTGCCCATCTCAAGGGTCTAAAATAAGCTTCCTGCCACTTCCCTCCACAAATCTCACTCTGTGCCCCCGAGTACCCAGGAGTCTTGTGCTTCCAAAGCCCACCCTGTTCTAAACCTCAACCAATACTTCTATTGCTATTCCCAGAGGTCCCAGACATCCCGTCTGCTCCAGACCATGACAGACTCTCCTCCTCCGGGAACCCAGCTGTTCTAGATCCACGGCAGCCCTTGCTTTATACCAGGAGTAGCTACCGTGGTGTGCTCCACCTGATTTGGACCACAGCTCCCAACAGCCTCAGCCAGCATGGCCAATGGTCAGGGATGATGCATGTTGTAGTAAAAAAAAACCCACACATTTGGAGTGCATCACATTGGTTACCCTGCTTTAACTCAATAAACCCCATGCTTCTCCCCGAATAGCTAGCATTCTCCTTGAATAAGTAGCTCTTCCCTTCCCTGCCCACCTCTGGCAATCCTTTCCCCTTCTGAATGCAGAAGTCCTGCACCAAAGGACAGCTCTCTTGCAAGTTCCACATTCATGGGTAACTTTGGCTTTGCAAGGAGTAGAAAGACCAGTGAGAGCTGACTTTCTCTTCTGCTGCTCAGAAGAAGAGGTGGGTTGCTGATGTGGTGCAGTTAAGTAACTTTGGACTTAGGGGGAGAGTCCTCTTAAGGTGGCAATGTGTATGACTTCACCTACTTCCAAATTTAGTCAGCCGGCTGTGCTGTGTCTGAGTCCCTGCTACTCATTCTGCTGAGTGGGCCCCTGGACTTCTGCCCCAAAGTCCAGCCACTGAAGGTGCCTTGCATAATGTCCAGGGAACACCTCGTAACATTTGCTGGATTTGTGATAATAATTTGCCCCCATCAGATGTCCAGTTTGTAGAGCAGAAGCTTTGAACAGCCAAGGGGGAGAGCCAAAGTCATCTCAGGGTAACGGTGGCGGCCAAACCATGACTCTTCCAGGGACCAGAATAACATGTCCTCCGTTTTCTTTTTCTTGACTTTGTGCCCACCACCAAGCACACACACACACACACACTTTTCCTTTACTTCTCACCCCTACTGGATTCCCCATCTGCTACTTCAATATGCTCCCTCATTCATTTCAGGCAAAAGGGGCTATTTCTGTGCTGACGGAAGGACAGCTGGATCCCAACCCAAAGGGGTGGGGGCAGGATTGGGTTTGACAGGGTGGTGGATAGACAAAACCTCTATCTTTTCAAACAGGGTCCTAACAGGTTGGATGGAGAACTGGAGACTTAGGATTTGGGGGCTATTTGGAAGAAGAGAAGCTCAGAAGGTGGTAGTAAGGTCTTCTCTTCCTGGCGTTTCCATTAATTCTCTGTGTCTGACCTTGCATCAGTCCGTCCCGCACCAGAAAAATAAATTTAAAAATGGTCCAGAATCAGATATATGAATAATATTTCTTCTCTCTCCCATGTATTCTGCCCTGAACTCCATTTGCTGACACACACCATCTTTCCCAGGAGGTATAATTCATTATTTCTACCAAAATGAATTGGGACTCCCAGAGCTGCTAAAAGGGGGACCCATATAGCTGTCTTCCTCATTAGTTTGTGTGTGTGTGTGTTTTGGAGATAATGGCTGTAAAATGGTGCATGTGTGGGGAGGAGGAGGGTGTACAGAGAAGAAGGCATCACCAACCCAATATATCCAGCAGCTGGGAATATTATATGAGAGAACAACTCAAGACTCTGGAAGTGAGTCACCAATGCTAGATGGTCCCCAGGAACATTGCTTTCCTTTGGGATCTCAAAAGGCCTCCCTCCCTTCCCTCCCCACCTTGGAGAAAAATGATAGACCTAAAACACACACACAAAAATCAAGATCAGAGCATCAGTTCCATCTATCCTCTATACTTTCTGTTTATTCATCTATCCAATCACTGCTTTCTCTTTCTCTTCTCCTCCCTCCTCCCATGCCTTGTCCTATGCTTCCTGGATCCCTTGGCTTGCCCATTCTTCTCCTCCTCCTTTCTCTCTCTCTCTCTCTCTCTCTCCCCCCCCCCCCCCACTTCCTGGGCACCGCACTGCGCTTCAAAAGAGATTCTAGGGTTTGTGTGCAGAAACTGCTGACGGGACGGGAATTCTGTGCAGTGCAGAGATCCAGCGAGTGGAAGAGAAAGCAGAGAGATTGCTTTGCAGAAGGAGATGGGGATATGGTGTGTGTGTGTGCATGCACACACACTCACACACATCCATAGTTAAATGTGTTAGTGTGGAGTGTGTGTACACATATGTGTGAGCAAGAAAGTGTTCCTGCATTGCACAAGGCTATATGATCTCTGTGTTGGGACATGCATGCTAAGTGTGTGCATAAAGATACATGGGGCTATCTGTATCTGTGTACAGCATGCCCAACTGCATGTACATGCATGGAAGTATGTGGGTATGTATGGGTGCAAGAAGTGTTGCCTGGGAAAGTCATGTTCCATGCAAGTGTAGAAGCATGTTTGGATGTGCTCAAATTGAACAGTCATTTGCTATGTGCATAATAACAAAAGATCGTGTGTGTGTGTGTGTGTGTGTGTGCGCACGCGCAGATCAGGGCTACCTCTATAAAGATCTACATATTTATGAAAAGTATATATAACATGATCTATAGAATATATGCCTACGTAAATCTGCACACAATGTATACTGAATGACTTGTGTGCCTATTTGTGCGTATTTATGTTTGAATGTGCACACATGCTGAGTTTTGGTTGCAGATTAGTCTGCAACTAAACCAGCTTAAATCTAATTGAAATCAGTAGATACGGCATAAGCTCATTAAGCAATGAGCTTGTTTAGGTGGACTTGCATGGTGGTATGTGTACAACCGCAGATGCATATGCATCCCTGATTGTGTGTTCAGGAAGGGATAGGAGTGCAGTGAAAGGAATGCATGAGGGTGTGTTACTTTGTGTGCAAACGCACATTAGGGTCTGTGTATCTACAGGCCTGCAAAAGAGCACAGCACTGAGTGTGCTCAGTTGGACTGCCTGCGGTTGGGAGAAAATGGATGGAAGTTGTGTGTGTGTACATATGTGCAAGGCATGTATATGTGTGCAGGGTGAACACGCAAAGGAATGCCAGGTACAAAAGGGCAGGTAGCTTCTTGTATACACGTGAGGAACAGCTCTTTGCTGTGTGCATTGACACAAGGTCTATGGGAGAGCATGTGTAGGTCAGTGTAGGTGCACAGATGTTGCCCAGTTGTGGAGGAATGGCTGAGCAAATGGAGGGGCAGACATGCATGCCCTTATGTAAGGAATCTCTCTGAGGACAGCAGTTGGGTTGTGCTTCCAGTGACAAAGCATTTTGTGGTAATGTGGCAACTGTGTGTGTGTGTGTACCCAATGGGAAATGTGAATGAATTACAGAATTTTCTGTGGTAAGTCTATGTGCAGGAAAGCACATGACTGCTTGCATCATTGCTTCCCTTCATGGGTTTTAGCAAGGCACCGGAGTGGGGGAACGGTGTAACAGAAGGTGTCTGGGTGCTGAGCATCCGGCACAATCCTGAAGCCTCAGCAGAAACCTCCTAGCGCTCTTTATTCATTAATCAGAATGCAGATGTTAAGACTGTTTAAAAGCTCCCTGGTGGGAATATTGCATGAAATAAGTAAAAAAACCCAAAAAAACGAACAAACGGGAGGAGGAAGAAGGGGAAAGGGTTTCCCCTCCCCTTCTCGCATCAAAGTTTTGCTGTGAAAATTGGAAAGAGAATGGCAATCAAGCCCCCTACTCAGTCCCAAAGTTTCGGAGACACTTACAGACAGGGTTATTTTTTTCTTTTCTTTTTCTCATCTATAATTTTTCATCTGTAAAAAAATAATAATGATGATCTGCCCTAATAGGGCTGTGAGAGGCTCAAGGGTAACACCAGGGAAGCGGAACGTGGTGCCCTCCACATTTCGTTAATTCCCATCTTCCATCAGTTCCAGCCAGAATAGACGGGGATCAGGAATGGTGGGAGTCGGAGTCCGAAAAGCATGTGGGAAGGCCACACATTTCCCATCCCTGCCTTATCTTCAGCAAAGGCAACTCAAATCTTACCCTGAGGAAAAACAGTTTTTGCAGCCTACGTACTTCATGCAAATCAGGGAATAACTGCAGTCATAAGGTCCACAGAGTTGCTTTCTTAAAATTGAGGATGAGAATCTTAGGGTATTGAATGACCACTATGCCGGTTTTCAAATCCTGTGCTTCTAAGGTACAACTGCAGTCATATGGAATATTTATTTGATTGCAATAATATGTTATTTTTTTCCTCCAAGGAGCACAGGGAAGCATGCATGCACCTCACCACCACAAACTATGTATTCTCGCAGGGAACCTATGAAATAGATTAGGCTGAGAGGTAACAATGGACCCAAAGTCACCCAGTGGGTTTCTTGGCTGAGGAGGGATTTGAATCCAGGTCCCCCTTTATTTCAAGTCCAAACTTTGGCCTTATGCCACATTGAGAATGTATATGTGCCACACTGTGATGTATCCTTGCATACAGACCCAATTAAGAGTTACGGTAATAGCAGTAGCAATTTTATATATAAAATCTCATTGGCCGAGAGAGCCAGTGTGGAACAGTGGATTGCGTGATTAGGGAGACCTGGGTTCAAATTCCTGCTCAACCATGAATTTCAGTAGGCCATCTTGCTACCTAATCTACCATACAGGGTTGTTGTGGATAAAGCATGAAGGAAGAGAAAGAGATGTGTCGCCCTAAGCCCTTTGGAAGAAGAACAGGATAAAAATGTAATAAGCAGCTGCTCCTGAAGAACAGTAATAGATGCGGGTGGTGCTGTGGGTAAAACCTCAGTGCCTAGGACTTGCTGATCGTAAGGTCGGCGGTTCGAATCCCCGCGGCGGGGTGAGCTCCCGTCGTTCGGTCCCAGCTCCTGCCCACCTAGCAGTTCGAAAGCACCCCTAAGTGCAAGTAGATAAATAGGTACCGCTTTATAGCGGGAAGGTAAACGGCGGGTGCTGGCTCACCAGTGCAGCTTTGTCACGCTGGCCACGTGACCCGGAAGTGTTCTCGGATGGCGCCGGCTTCCGGCCTCTTGAGTGAGATGAGCGCACAACCCTAGAGTCGGTCACGACTGGCCCGTACGGGCAGGGGTACCTTTACCTTTAAGACAGCGTCAGCTCTCAAGATGTTTCTGGACTTCAGCTCCCGTCATCCCTGATTATTGGCCAATGGTGGCTGAAGCTGATGGTCGCCAGAAGTCACAGCAAAACCTGTAGTGCCAGGTTTCCCCACTCCTGATTTAAAAGGTGGTTAGACAAATTCATGGAGGATAAGGCTAGCAATGCCTACTAGTAATGATAGGCCAGTGGAACTTCCATTGAGTATGCCACTGAACATCAGGTGCTGGGGAGCTCATGGTGTTGTGTTCATAAAGGACAGCCCATACTTCAGTGGTGGAGCTATGGCAAAAGTCCCAGGTTCAGTCAAATTGACAAATGTCTCAGCTGGCAGGTGCTGGGAAAGAGTTTCTGCCTGAGACCTTGGAGGGCCACGGACAGTAAGGGCAGTCAGTAATGGACTAAAGATCAATAGCCCTGACGGACCTGGTGTAAGTTACCTTTATAGGCTGCAGAAATGTAAGTCGATAATTGTTTATCATTTATGATTTGTCACTTTCCCTACTCTAACTGTCTTAAGCCTATTCTACTCATACAGTACAATGAGGTGCTAGAAAGGACTGCAAGGGGTGTGGGGGATGGAATACTATTTTTAAATGCTCCAGTTTCGGGCCCCCCCCTTTAAAAAAACCAAAACCTTCTTGCAAGCAGGCAACTAGATCATCAGAAGCTGGACTACTTTTCTGCTTGCAAGGATTAAAACAAACAAACAAGGGGAACATCTAAAAATGTGACCGTAATCTCTCACACTAGTGAAATCCAGTCCAGCCTACAACCCCCAAGTCTTAGCTTTGCCTGCATGCCTTTCCACTTGTTGGCATAGAGAATAAGAAAAGAAAAGGGGATATCTGCCTTCTGCCAGGAGCATACTCTGTTTTCGTTTGCCATGTGGGTGGGTAGGGATGGATGCTTAAGCACAAATGGGTTCCTTTGGTAGGGGTTGCTGTTCCTTCTCTGTCTAGTCTTTTCCAAGAATGCATGAGCACTAATGGCTTTCTTCCCCATCCTCCCCTGTTACACTCCCTCTTTCCCCATGCCCTGCCTCTCTCTCCAGTATGTGGCCTTTGCCTCGCTCTTCTTCATCCTCATCTCCATCACCACCTTCTGCCTGGAGACCCACGAGGCTTTCAACCACATCACAAACAAGACAGAGGTCATACAGTCAGAGAATGGCACCACCGTAAAGGTGGACTTTGAGATGGAGACAGAGCCATTCCTCACCTACGTGGAAGGGATGTGTGTCATCTGGTTTACCTTTGAGTTCCTCATGCGTGTCATCTTTTGCCCAGACAAGCTGGAGTTCATCAAGAGCACCCTCAACATCATCGACTTTGTGGCCATCCTGCCCTTCTACCTGGAAGTGGGCCTCAGTGGCCTCTCGTCCAAAGCGGCCAAGGACGTGCTGGGCTTCCTGAGGGTGGTAAGATTTGTCCGGATCCTAAGGATCTTCAAGCTGACAAGGCATTTCGTAGGGCTGAGAGTCCTAGGCCACACATTGAGAGCCAGTACCAATGAGTTCTTGCTCCTCATCATCTTCCTGGCCCTGGGGGTCTTGATCTTTGCCACCATGATCTACTATGCCGAAAGGATCGGGGCTGACCCAGACGACATCACAGGCAGCAAGCACACCACCTTCAAGAACATCCCCATTGGGTTCTGGTGGGCGGTGGTCACCATGACGACTTTGGGCTACGGTGACATGTACCCCGAGACCTGGTCAGGCATGTTGGTGGGAGCACTGTGCGCCTTGGCTGGTGTGCTGACCATTGCCATGCCCGTGCCCGTCATCGTCAACAACTTTGGCATGTATTATTCGCTGGCCATGGCCAAGCAGAAACTACCAAAGAAAAAGAACAAGCACATCCCACGAGCCCCCCAGCCTGGGTCGCCCAACTACTGCAAACCGGACATGCAGTCCCCACATCGCAGCAACCAGGGCGACTCATGCCCCCTTGCTCAAGAGGAGATCATCGAGATCAACAGGGCAGGTAAGGTGGGGGTGGGAAACACCCTGAGGGCAGAAATGGCTAAAAATGCAAACTATTTGCATAAACAGTCTCCTAATCTGGCAGCTTTGAAATTTTCTTCCGTTTGGGTTCCTCTTTCCACACTGAGTTACATACTGAGGAACTGCTGTTAGGAGGTTGCCCCAGAGCCTATGCACACTGAAGAGGATTCTTGGGCATCTTAGAGAGTGCGCTCTCATTGTTCCCCTCCATGTGAAACTGAGAGTTACCCTTAGAATGCATCCTGTACACCTCTTTGCACTGCAGAGGAAGGTTGGTAGTAATGGGCAAGCTGTCCTTCAGGAAAGTTTGTCCATAGCTCATTTGCTAATTATTATTTTTTCAAAAAAATAAGCTGTTCTGCTGTAAGCCACTTGTGTAAAAAAGGACAAACAAATTCAAGTAATAAATAAAATAATAATAAAATGAATAAAATACTTCCAGGCCTCCCTTCCAGGTCTTGCTGAACCTCAATTTGCTTGCTCTATGCATCCCACAGCTGTCTCCATACGGTAGGTTAGGATTCCAGCACCCTCCCTGAGATCAGAAGATCAAGGATGGTGTGAGTCATCTACTCCAACCCCCTGCAATGCAGGAATCTTTTGCCCAATGTGGGGCTTGAACCTCAACCCTGAGTCTCATGCTCTACTGAGTCATGTTAGTAGAGTTTTGTCAGTGCCATCAGTAAACTCTCTTTGAGGTTAAACCCTAATGAATCCCAGACATGTAAGAAGAGCCCTGCTGGATCAAACCAAAATCCATCTAGTACAGAATCCTGTTTCCCAGAGTGGTCAGCCAGATGGCTTCAGGAGGCTATAACCAGGACATACAGGCAAGAGACTTCCCCCAGTTTAACCTCCTCCACAACACAGTGTGTGGTATCCAATGGGATACTGCATCTGAACACAGCACTTTTAAATTCTTCTGTCATTGCCAATAGGCCATTGATAGAAACATCCTCCTCCATGAATTTGTCCTATCGTCTTTTAAAGCCATCAAAGCCAGAGGCCATCAGCACATCTTGTGGCAGCATATTTCATAAAGTGATCTTACATTTTGTAAATAAACAGTTTGCTTTCTCTGTCCCTGAATCAACTGCTAATCGATTTCAGGTCTCGGTCTCTCTCTCTTACACACACACACACACACACACACCGCTCAAGTTCTAGTAAAATGGGAGAAGGAGAAACGAAATCTCTGTAGATAATTTCACCACATTATTCTGTGGAACATAGTTTGAAAACTGCTATTCTAATCCAACCTGAACCTTGGAATAATTCTTCAACCAACTCATCCCTGCTGCTTCTGACAGCAGCTAATACAATCAGTAGCATGGGAAACAGCAATTTTAAATTCAAATAATAGTCTCCTAGAAACGTGGAGGATATTATTGTGTAACATTCTTTTCCTTGTCTGATGCTTTGCTGCATCGGGTGCTTCTCCCTCCATGCCTTACAGTCTCTATAGCACAGTTTCTGCCCTTGTGAGAGATGTAATATAAGAGAAAGGCTAGAGGAAAGTGAAGCACGTTCCCTCTAAACAAGCTGGTTGACTGTTACCTGGTATAGTTTCAGTGGAGTCAGTTTATACATTGCTCTGCCAGCCATTCCAGTGTACAACAATCAAGAGCAGACAGCTTGTGCCATATACACATGTGTGTGAACCAGCACTGTGATTCCAGTTTATGATGTGCACCGCTCAAGTGCCACACATATGCAGAAACCTAAACTCAGTGAGGAATTCAGCATCCAGGGACTCTGCTTTATTTCTCTAAGCAGGTTTCCAGCCCTTAACAATTACAGAGAGATGCGAAAAAAACGCTTTGAAATTTCAGAAGTCTTTCCAGCATCCCAAAGAGGGGTCCTGTGCTCCCTTTCTTGCTCTTTGCCCTTCCCAATAAGCAGAAGAGGAAGCAGAGTAAATTTCATTAAACAGAATAGATAAGGAAAGATCTATAGCTCGTACTTTGTTGATGATATGAAAAAAGAGTACAGACTAAACACAGCTCTACTGTTACTTATTCATAAATAATATTAAACCCACCTTATCTAATGAACCCAGTACTGCTGCTTATGACTGATACAGATCTCACAGTTAAAATAATAAGCTACAGTATTCCCCCCCCCTTTATGACGAACCTTTAGGGTAGGAGTTTCCTTTTCCCATTTTACACATAGCTGAGCCTAAGCCATAGCAGCTTGCCCAAGGCCACACAAATCTGTGAGAAGGACAGAATCACAGGGCTCCTAGAATCAAAACCAGTTATTGATTCACTGGCTCAAAATCCAGCTGCCAGTGTCTTAAAATTGTATCTCATCCCCCCTCCCATTGATTGGCCAAAGTTCACTGGTGTGACTGTGGATGAGCAGACTCCCTTGGCCATTAGATATGGGGGGAAAGCCAGAAATGTGAGTCAATACATTTTGTAGCTAAAATATTTTGCAATCTGAACAAGCGGTCTTTCTAGTGGGTTGTATCCCATTGGTCAGATCTGTCAGTCTTCCAAGCTGCCACTCTTATAATGGCACCAAAATCGGCTGTCCTGAGACCGCCACCTCTCTTTACCTCATAGTATGCCTGTGTCAGAAATGAGCCAAGATTACACCACATCACCTGATATAAAAAGCAGGAGGAGAGTTAGTAGGGCCAAGTTTTGACTGGAGATGAGGAAGCTCCCACTGGATTGATATAATGGATCTTGGACAGGAGATAGGTTATATTAAGAGGCAGAGTTTTACTAAGGCAAAGGCTGTAATGTTGGCAAATGAAACTCTTTCTCCTAACTGTCTTCCTCTCTTTGCTTTGTATACAGCCCTGCACTTTACCTTTTGATATAAGGGAGGTAGTAAGCTAACAATATTACAGAGGCAAGGAATGCTCCACGGGTATTTTTAGGAGACCTGGGCTCAAATCTTTGCTTAGCGTCGAAGTCACCAAGGGGATGGGGCCAAGTCATTAAGTTTCTGTCTCAGTTCTTCTAACTGTCAAATGAGAATACCAATTGAAATGAGGATTTTAAGTGCTATGTTGCGATTATCTGGATAGTGCGGTGGTTTTCAAACTCTCTTCACAGAAACATGGGCATTCCTCAGAAGCTTATTGGTAAGAAGCTTTGAAAACTTGTCCACCGTTAGCAGTCCTCCTCTGCAGTGTGCGGCTGAAGGAGAGTTTGTGTGTGTTTTGACTGGTTCTCTAGGCATTGATGAGGTCAGGCATTTTGCAGAGACCTCAGGGCTCATTTCATTTATTTATTTCATTTACTGTATATCCCACCTTTTTCCATTATGAAACCCAAGGCAGCATCCATGGCGTGCCCAGGTGGATTTCCCAGCAGACCTTGCTCTATTGAGACCCTGAGCTGGTTTAAATAATCATTTCCTCTCCTTATTTGCTCTGTGAGGGCAATAGGGGCCTCTTAACAACTCTTAGTACCCTTAACAAATTAAAGCCCCCAGGATTCTTTGGAGGAAACCATGACTGTTTAAAATGGTTACGATACTTCTTTAAATGTATACTGCAGATGAGGCCTCAGTTGACCCCCTCACTTAACAGCATTTTGCTGTATAACAAAAACCTTTTTGGTTTTTTATATTGGTATTTATTTATTTATTGCTTTCCAATGCTTTTGTTTTATCAGCTACACCTGTCTTATTTTATTATCTCTGGTTGTATATATTTGACTGTATCCAGTGCTCAGAGTACACCCTCTGCAATTAATGACCATTTCTTACTTAGGTCCATCCATTTCAATAGGTCTGCTTTGAGTATTGGATACAACCTACTGTATTTCCTAGAACATTAATATTTTATAGTGGATTTCAATTGTTGTTAGCCGTCCTAAGTAGTATGTAAGTGCTAGAAGGGCAAGATCTAAATGTTCAAGGCAAATCACAACCCTTGTAGCTTTCTGAAAAGCTAAGGGTGCCATCCCAAAAGCAAAGGAGAGAAGCCCCCTCCTTCTGTAATCTAAGCACCACAGGGCCTGAATACTAGCAAAGGTACCACTTCGCTTTTCTTGGAGCACCCAAGACCAGAGACTACACAATAACATTCTCAAATCACCTCTTCCAGATTAAGGGGGACCAACTAAGGGTGCCTTGTGCAAACTCCCCCCAGAATCCTGAAGCTGGAACTGCATCCTAAAGTGCATTCTCAGTTCATCTGGAGCAATGCCAAATCCCTGCAAGGGTAACCAGCATCCTTCACAAACCATGCATGCCCCCTAGAATGCATCCCAGAATCCTTTGCAATGCAGAGGGGTTTGGCAGCAGACCAACGGATGCTGCTGCCAGGGTTCTCTGGGGTCAGCAAGTTTGAAAGCGAGTGGCCTTAATCTCTCTTTCTTCATCCAGTTTCCTCCCTTGGGTTTTTAGCTGCTGATTCTTTGTTGTGGTGCAAAAGCTGCTTCTCCCTTTGCATGAAAAGACCTGATCTAGCTGTTTTTCAGGGTAAGGATGTCTAGGGTAGCCCATCTCTGGCTGTGGATTAACTTTGTCCTTCCAAAATGACTCATATGCCTACATCGAAGGGCCTGTTTTGGCAACTTAAGCCACATTTGATCAAGAATTATTATTTTTTTCTTCTACGGAGGGATGGGGGTGGAGAGGAGGAGGAGGAGGCAAGCTTGGCAGCTATGCTAGGATTTAGATGATTTAGAAGTACTGGAACATTTCATTTTGATTTACATATAAAATTGATCCACTAGCCGTTTATCGGAAAAGGCACTGAGAATCAGGACTGAAGGGCGTTTGCCAATACATACGTCGCCCTCCTATTTCCTCTCCTCTTTGAGCAGAGTAGAGCATCTGTGAAGATTCCCTGGCATTGCTTGCTCTTACAGAGTTAAGGAGGTGACTCTTGCCTGCATTTCTGCATGTGGAAAGAGCATCCCAAATACCCAAGATACACTAGGGCTCAAGTAGCAGATGGGTCCTCCTATGAGCTGGCAAGGACAATCAAGTTGTTGGCAGGGAATCCCACAAGGGAGACAGTCATGCACATCCCCAGCAAAGGCTGAGAGCCAGGATGACTGGGTTCCCTAGGAATCAGTGGGTCCATCTATGAAGATTTCTGGGCTCTTTCAGAGGGGGGGATGAAGAATGTAGGAGCAAGACCTCTTGAGATCTTTTAGAATGACTGAGACTAGGAAAGTGCTTGTGGCAGGAAAAGATAGGGAAGGCTAATACCTTTGAGCAGAGAAGGCTTGAAAAGGCAGGATGCCTAGTTGACAGCAGATAGTCAGAATTCATAAGGGGTGCGGCTGAGGAATGGGAATGCAGACAGGCGAGAATTGGACTACAGTCTGAAAAGTATATCACAGTGAAAGCAGCTGACCACTACCCCTTACTGCGCATGCACACACACACACACAAGTTCTCCTGCTCTTTGGTGGCCATTCACCCAGCAAATCTTCAAAGACAGGCAACAAGGCAGAGGTGGGGGAAGGTTGCATGCTGTAGGGTCCCCAGGGCTCACGGCCAGTTCCTGCCATCCTCTCCCAAGCGCTCCAGTTGCCCTGGGCCAGAAAGGCCATTTGCAGCAAGTGCAGTGGAGGAGCAAGGATTCACTTAATTGGACAGGATCTTGGCTATGCATCAAACATGGCAGAGGGAGAAAAGGGGGAGGCCCAGGGGGATGTGGTTGCTAGAACATCTCCTAATGCTATCAGGGAGACACATCAGCCTCTGTCTCACTGCATCCCGCCCCCCATCACCCAGTGCACCGTTTTATATCTCCGCTCCTTGGTAGGAACTTCACATTTCCCACCTCAGTTCCTCACATCCAAGTGTAAGTGCCTTTCTGTCCCCATGGCAACAACTTCCCCGCAACTTCATCAACTAGGTTTATGCCCTCACTTCCGTACACCACGCTGGTAAGGGTCTTCCCTCCTGCTGTTCCACCAGTCATATTTCCACAACACTGCCCTTCCCAGGGCTGGTCAAATACATTTTTCTACCTGAGGCAAAGGGCAAGATGGTGTCCCACCCAAATTGCATATTCGGAAGCAATTCGGAAGTGGGCCGGCAGCTGAAACTTGCTTCAACACTGATGAGGGCAGCCTAGTGGGTGCATGACAGGTAATGTGGCAGACACATACCTATTTTAGAGTAGAGGAAAACAACCAAAGGGTTCAGGAAGAACAGATGGGGGGCTGGTTCCACAGCATCTGCTGGGGTGATTTTGATCTCTGGGCTAGGAAAAGCTTCTTAGGTATTTTCTGTATATAAACAATAGCCCTACCATGAGGCAGTGGTGGACCTTAAGAAGGGTAGTGTGTCTTGATATAGGGTATGCTCTTCAGGTGCCAAATTGTCCAACCAGCCCCAGTTCTGTTTGTCAGGCTGCTTTCAAAGGCACAGGAGGAGAGCCAATAAAAAAAAATCTGGCAATCCCTCGGATAGGTTTTCTGTGAAGTAGGCAATCCATTTGATTTATTTTAAAGCAAAGAAGAGAAGTATGCTTCAGTTTGGAAAAGGGAGTTCATAAATCTTTTATAAAAAAAAAGATGGGAAGGTTCAGGAAGTGGCTGAGCCATGTGGAGAGGTCTGCTAATTTTGTTCATTGCACTGGCCACTTTTTATTTTTATTATATTATTTCAGCATTTATACCCCACTGTCTATTACAGTCATACCCAAAGTGGCTTACAAAAGAAAATGTAATGCTACTTATTTCATTTGGGCCTAGTTAGACCACATTTAGAGTACTTAGTTTAGCTCTGGGCACAAGAGTTTAATAAAGAAGGATGTTGACAACAGATTCTGAGGAGAGCTAGAAAGACGCGAAAGGGTCGAGAAGACAAATCATGCCAGGAAAGGCTAAAGGAACTGAGTATGTTTAGCCTAGAGCTGTGGTTTTCAAACTGTTCCTAGAAATCTTTTGCGACATGCGGGGATTCCATGGAGATGTGCAACATTTACTCAGCCAACAAATCAGTGTGGAAAAAGTCCCTGAGGGCAGCAATATGAAATTCACTAACCTAGGGGGAAAGATCGGGGGGAGAAGAGTATATGCAACAATTGCCAAGTATTAAAAAATGTCAGAAAGAGCAGGAGCAGTTGTTCATCCTATTTGCTAGAAAAGAGGCTAAGAAGCAATGGGATTAAATTTAGGAGCTTATCAGATGACTGGGTTTGGGGTGGATGAACCGTGTTCAATACACATGCAGGTGTTGATTATTAGTGGCACAGAATTCTTTCAGAAATCTTTAAAAAAACCAAAAAACATTATTTGTTTCAGCACATGATTTTGCCAGCACTCAAACACCATTATTGTGATATTGGGAACATGTGATTTTTCCGTCTACAGTGTGTGAAATTTGATTGTGCAGTGTAATAGGAACCTGATGGATAAGTTTGCCTGTGACATCACTGAAAGACAAAACACCTTCAATAGTTTCCCATGACCTTTCTGAAATTTTGTTTTTAATGTCATTTTTTTGAAATTAAAGGCTGCACCATGCCAGCAAGGGAGTGTTTCAGTCCTTTATTTTGTATGCAGTAAAGCTCCCTCCTGTCTGCAATATTGTTCCACAATTTCATGGAGCCTTTCTCTCTCAGAAAAACTGTTCTCTGCAGGAGTGACCCTGTCCCCCTTTCTAGAATAATTGCCTCACAAGATAAGATATAATTATCTATGTTAACCTACAATAACGTCACCAATTCTACTGATCAAATAATAGGCGTCGTTATCAGAGGGGGAGAACTCCCCTTCTCAAAGTTGTTTGATCAAAACTGAGAGGCTTGATATGGATCATTATCTTAAATGAGGACAACAAAGATGCTTTTATTAAGGGATAGCAGCTCTTGATATTCACATATCAAAAGGCCATCACAAAATGGATATTATTTCAGACTATTGCACCTCTAGGAATGAAAACCTAAAAAACCCCTCCAAACCCAAATGTTCTTTATCTGTACATTTTTACTTGGTAGCCACAACAAGTGTATGAGCTACTTACTATGTTTTCTGTTTGATTAATGAACTGTGCTAAAAATAAATAATGCCATTTTGTAGCTGCCTTCTTTCAGAACACTTCTGCACTACGCATTTATTTAATCTATGATTTTCTTCACAGAACCTGAGAAATGTTTTGTAAGAGGTTCCTAGTTCTTCCACATAACACAACTCCCAAGTTTCCCTTAAGGAGGGAATCACTATTCCTATCACAAGCGACACTCCACATATTACAAGAATCCTCATAATCACATGTTAACAGAGACAACAGTTTCTTCTTTTTACCCATTTGCTTGAGCAAATCTTAATGTGAGTACAAAAGGGTAGCGAAATAGGTAATCAATTTACATCAACTGAACTTGAATGTGGCCCAAATATAATAATAGAAAGTGGAGGAAAGTCCAAAGTTCATTTTCTCAGAAAGGTTTAGCTGACCCGAAGTTTTCAAAACAGTTTAAATCTAGCAAGATTTTTTGAAAATTTATTTCTACACTTTGGACATTGATCATCATTTATATATTTTAAGGCAATTATGCAAAGCATCAACTTGCTCAATTCAGTAATGTACATCTGATTTGCAGAGTACGCACTTTAAAAACTTACAGCAACATTCATTACGATAAAAATGGTGTAAAGAATTGCTGCTAGAAGAAAATTGATTTGATTACAGACAAGCAAATTTGTGTTTGCCTAAGAATTTGCTCCACCCACCCACACTCCCAAAAAATATTTGTTGTATCTCAGGATGGGAAAGGTAGCTAGGTGGTTGTTTTGTTTTTTGTCTGTTTTTTGAGCTGGGAATTCTGGGGAAGGCGCAAAGGTACTATTGAGAAGCCAGGAGTCTGAGGTTTCTTCTTACTTGTGCGTCACTTCTCTTTTTTCCAATCTCACCCCTTTCCCTTATCCGTTCACAGATTCCAAGCAGAATGGTGATGCAGCAAATGCAGCATTGGCTAATGAGGACTGCCCCACCATAGACCAGGCCCTGTCACCTGAGGAGAAGTCACCTGTCACACCTGGCGGTCGGGAACGCTACAACCGTGACCGAGCCTGCTTTCTCCTCTCCACAGGTGACTTTGGTCAGTCACCTGATGGGAACATCCGAAAAGGTACATACATGTGCATACTTTTTGCCCTGTCTCTTTCGCAAGAGCATCTAAACAAGTAGTCCAAGTACGACATCTCCCTTTCCCACATCACCACCACCTCCATAACCCTTGTCATAGCAAAACCTCAAATTGCCACATTTCTGAGGTAATAAAAGGCAACTGCTAATGTGTACTTTGTTTAAATATAACCCTGTCATGAGGGTTAAAAGGTCATGACAAATTAAAATGAGGCAGATGATGCCCTAGCAACTGGAAGGCCTCAACTTGCCCATCTTTGCTACCATAGCAACAGCATCCATCGTTCCAAGAACAGCGCCCTCTAGTGCTTCTTTTCAATTGGCAACCAGCCAGCACAATTGATCTTAAGCAATTTGGGTTCAAATTGGGGAGGGAGAAGTAGGTCCTCCCCTTCCAGCATTCCCAGTTGCTTCCTGTGATTTTCATGACCTCCGAGATTACCAGCTCAGCCCTGTGTTATGTTCCCTGCACACACACCCAGCTCCATTATCACATCCACTCAACAAATAGATGCTTTTTTGGTCAGCCCTTGCTTTGTGTCAGTCCCCCATCTCCTTCCATGTTTTCTCCCTTACTTGTATCATTCTGTCCCACAGTGACTGTAGGTGCTCTTCACATTCCTGAAGCTACTATTTTGAAGGAAACAACAGCAGCAAAGAGTAGACTACCTTATTCTCAGTGACTAGTTGTGATGAAAATCCTACCAGTATTCTCCCTCCTACCCACCCTTGCCCTGCTGTTGTTGTCCTTTGAATAGGGAAAAAAAACAGACTTTAACCCAACTGACCTGGTTTTAAATCCTTACTTAAACATGGACCCCATAAACACCACTCCCCATCTATAAAATGGAAATAGTAATAATAAGCTACCTTTCAGGAGCGCAGTCAAGAAAGATTATGTTTGCTGTGAGCCTTAGGTAGGATGTAAACCTAAGTGAATAATGAGTCAAATATAAATAAGCTGGGGGGTGTTTTCCATTCATTCATTTTGGGGCCATTTCTTGTTTTAAAGCTGCCTGTGCAAACTCTCGAAGTTCAAAATGTGGTTTGACAATTCTGGGCAATAGTAGTTTCATGAGAAATTGCCACCAATGCAATTAGTGCTTCCACCACCACTCCTCAATTTCTCTTAAAGTGATCTCAAATCTCCAAACTATTTCAGGACTCAGGTGAAGCTAAAGAGAGGTTTGTTGGGGGACCAGCTTCAGAATACGAAACTATGCATTTAGAGCTCGATGGAAAATGTTTATGTCCCTATAGAACCCAACCTAGAATTTCAGTCTCTCTGCTGAAAAAACACAAATTATGTACTTTAAATAGGATCATTTAAAATTTCAAATATTGTGAAAGTTGGCTATAATTGGATAAGGAAGCCAATGCAAGGGGGAGTCTGTACAGGATACAGGGATGAGGAACATGGATAGGATGTGGATAGGATTTCTTCCCTTGTCTGTTGACCTGCCCCCATTAGGCTTTGAGAGTTTGTCCTTCTGCACTTTTTTTCCAGAAAGAGGCTTAGGAACTTGTATTTTTTTACAAAAAGGAGGCTGAAAGGAGGTCAATTTCAGATTTCTGAAAAGTGGTCAGTTTAATAGGTTCTTATAGTTATTTATACATATTAGGATTCCCCCCTTTTTTAAAAAACAACAACCTTTAAAACCACATTTCAGTCATCTGCATAGACAGAAAAGCTAGTTAGAGCAGGGCAGTTAGCTATTAACATTGGAAGGCATCATTACAATTTAGAATTGACAGTTTAAACACTGGACTGCTGTCACTGATCAATCTGATTTCAGTACTGCTGGAAAACCTAAATTAGGCGAGAGCCAATCTTAGTTTTGCCCATCTCACTGTGGAAAGGTATGGGAGGACATTGCCCCTCTGGAGAGGAATCAGCAGCAACGTGTGTTGAGTGTTTTATAACTGCTGGTCTAGCATCTGTCAGAAGCTGATCTTAGCAGCAGGCAGCCTCTCGAACAGGGACAAGGTTGTGCCTGTCACAGCAGGGGAACAGGAGGAGGCAGCAAATGAAAGCTGACGAGGTATTTACTTCCACCGAGGGAGAGAACACGACAGATGTTCGAGGTGTTACACAGCAGGGAGAATCGGCAAGAAGCAGGCAAGGAGCAACTACAGAGAGCTCAAGGGAGCAGCGACTTGTCGGCTTGCCACTTGTCATTAGGTCCAAATCTTGACAATTATCTTTCTGGTCCACAGCTTTTGAGACATAAAATAGGTTTTGGTATAGGTATGATATTTTACTGGGAAGACTTCATTTGGCATAACAGCATGCAGACCTTTGAATTGCACAGAATTCTTCATCAAGCAGAATTAAGGTTATCACTTGGTTGAAGAAATTGTAGTCTATCAACCAAGTGAGTTTTAATTAGTCAGCTTGGCATATGATGACTAAAACAATAGCTTTGAAGAAAGGAAGTGTACTTCCTTTAGGTTTTGGTGGTGCATGTATATGTTACAGCAGGCACTGGCGAATGGCTTTTCTCAGATGGTGTTGGTTGTGCACCATTTCAAATTATTATTATTTTAAGAAAAGAGTTGTCTTACTAACTGGCGGTGTCTTTTTAATCAACTAAAAAGGTTTTTAATTACTTAACCAGTTAATCAATTTGCGGTTTCAGTCTTGGGCAGTCAGTGTCAGGAAAAGGAAGCAAAGGGACAACAGGTGCACAACAGAGTTCTTCTTGTCTTACAAGTCACATGGCTCATATAAATTGATGCAACAGTCAGTTTCCAGCAAAGGGCAGAGTCTCCCAGCTTTCCTGACTAGCAAAACAAGCCTAAGGGCTGATCCACACTTACTTTTTGCCCTGTGCCTTCTTGGGCATGGATCTGCACTTTCCCTGTCTAAGAGCTTTTTATTTTCCCCCTACCACTTTCCTCAGGAAAACCTGCTCCTTAATGCTGAATCAGAACAAACAGCAATTCAGGTTTTCCACAGGATTGTTTTCAGTGGTAAAGGGTGGGTTTTCGCAGGGAAAGTGCTGGGACCAAAAAAAAAAGCACTCAGACATGGAGATTTAAAGCACAGACCTGTGCCTAGAAACGTGACACAAAAGGAAGTCTGGATGAACTCTGAATTCCACCTGGTCCCCCAACGCTTATTGGTGAAAATACCAGGACTGTCACCAAGATTAAAGGAAACTCTGATGATGAGCTATATGAGTTTTAGCCAATTAATAAATTTAGATTTGCACAAATTTGAATATAGGTAAAGCAGTACCTTCTGAAGGGGATTTTTTTATATACATCAGATACGTTTGTATCACAGCAGGTATTTTAGAAGAGAGATTTTCACATGCATACTATGTGAATATGTGCAATAAAAGTGGAAATGCCTCTTTCAAGTGTGTTTGCAATATGCAGTTGTTAAGGATACCTGCATTAAAACTAATACCTTTTTTGGGGGATGGGATCTGCTATCTGATTAATCAAAGCACCTTTTTAAACCAAGCAGAGATTTTTATTAAATGATTAATGTAATTGTTTATTGATTAAACATTGTAGTGCTTAGGAAGAAATTCATTGCTAATGTGACTGATCTGCCTACAGTTCCCTCCATTTATCTGAAATGGGTAGCAGGGCGTATTTTGAATCCATCCCTGATATCCTTGCAATTCAATGCATATCTACCTAGAAGCAAGTCTCACTTAGTTCAATGAATGCTGGTTAGTGTTGTCCGTTTTTCAGCCAAACCTGCATAGGTGCCCCTTTAACTGCTGTTTGTTCTGCAACCATTAGCAATTGATCATGCATCGATGTTTGCCAAAAAAGCTTCACCTGCTGTTTTCTGTTTATAAAATTTCTGTTAATGGGCCAGAGGGTCCTTCTACACCCACCTCACCTCCGCTGATACTCAATTCTAGCTACTAATGTAAGATTACTGAGGAATAGGGTCATGAGAGACTGAGAAAGCTATTCCTGAAGTTCAGGAGTAGCCTACTCAAAAATACTTTCAAGGAGTCTTGTGACATCTTAAAGACTAACAAATGTCACTGAGCTCGAGTCCATGAAAGCTTATGCCATAATAAATTTGTTGGAATTTAAGGGACTACAAGACTCTTAAATTGTTTTTGCTGCAAGAGATAATATAGCTACCCCTCTGGAATTTATAACAAAATACTTCGGGACTTCAAACAGAATCCATCAGTAAAGGTTATGTTTACTGTACTCACAATTACAATGCAAGAACCCAAGTGCGCTGTTCAGCTAAATGTATTTTGTGTTTAACAAGGTAGCAAATTGTAATTCCCAACCTCTATTTAGTCTTTTGTCCTCTCATAGTCAGTGTTAGGCTTCAATCAGCTAAACAAACAAACGTACCCCAAAACTTTGTTCTTTTTTTTCTTCAGGTCTTAATTAGAGCCTCAGGCTTTACTCAGTTAATCAACTAAATGTTTGGTTGATTAATGTGGGGACTAGTATTAATTGGTGGAGCTGACAGTAAAGTGCACAATCATATTTTGATCCCAATTGGCTACTGTAATAGTGAGTAAAAAAGAAAACACTCCTTTTGTTCTACCAAAATGTGTAACAGAGGGAGTTTTAGCAGAATTAGCTGTTTGTATTCTTGCAAGGGAAACTGTCCCTGGTGAAATTTTTTTAATATCTGCCATCTGATTAAAATAAATCTTTGTTATTATTCATAGGAGTTTTAGTTCATTAATCCATCAATCAAATATTTACATGTAGGAAAACCAACAGAGCCAAACTTGTCACAGAAGGTATCACCTTGGAAAAGGCATTTTCCCTTTCTCATAAAGGAGGGAATGCAAATGCTAAAATGGTGCTTACTTTTGGCAGTCTCTCTCTAGATTTACATTAAAGCTAATTTCTAAAAAATTAAAATATGATGCTGAATAGAACAGTGCTTTTGATCAACAAATATTTGCACCTGATTACCACAGGTGGAGTTCAGGGTGTCATAGTGGACAATTTTTGCTTTAATTGGGTAAAGGTCTACCTAGCCTTGTGTGTGCACTAAAGAAAATATCTGCCTCTGTTCACTGTATTTAACGCCATTTTCCTTTCTTGGTCCTCCAAGCAAACATGGAGAAGCAGACAGAGTTGTCCCCTCCCCACACTTGGCACACTTAAGCCAGTCTCAGTGGTCCCAGATATGCCAGAGTGCATTCTGGGATATCACCTAGGAGCACATGTGTGGGCGGAAATGTCCTTGGCAAAGAGCCACAGCAATCTTACCACCAGATTAAAAAGATGTCTGGACAAGCATGAATAAAGCGATGGTGTTATTGAAATACCACTTGGTAATTTATCACATCACAGCCTCAGGATAAACACGATGCATGAAAAGCAGACTTAAGGCCGCAATCCATTAACCAGGCACTGTGGAGAGAGATCACCTGTTCACTTATATGAGGCTCCTTTTTGGAGTTAAATGGGTTTTGGATTGCTGGATAAGAGAGAGAGAAGCAAAGGGCCAGAGGGGAGAAAGCCTATTGTTCATAAGCAATTGCTAATTAATCCCAGTGTATGTAAATTAAAAAAGGAAGGGAAACCATTGCTCTGATGTTCTTGCTTACTAGCTGAAGTATAAAGAGTGCTATGGCACCCCAGAGCCTAACAGTACAATCCTAACCACATCCACTCAGAATTAAGTCCTGTTGAGGACTTGGGCTTACTTCCAAGAAAGTGGAGTTAGAATTGGAGCACAACTAGTTTACTGTGGCGATTGCCTTTTTCATCAGCAGGCTAGTAGTTTTCCGATGTCTTGCCCTGAAAATAGCCCTTTCCATGTCACCTGTTTCCCCCTAGAAGTTCCTGTGCATTGGCCACAGAACCTCTCTGTGTCGCAGATGGTTCTGGGGGATATCCAAGAACTCCGTATGCTCCAACTGCTTCTGTTTATGATGGACAGCCCCTATTTTGAGTTAACTGACCTTGGTAAATCGGTGTCCCTATTTTTGCCTTGTGTGCAGTGCACAACCTACCATATCACTCACTGCAGGTGCTGAGGTATACTTTGGGTTGTGATCCATTACTAGACAGTTTTGTGGTTTCAAATATATCTTTAATCAAAATAACAACCACCTTGTGAAGGTCAAGCTATTGCAGACTAAAGAAATAAAGCATGCAACAGACAGAGTCTTCATTAACATGCAGTGGAGGGCTCTTTTGAATGAGGAGTATGACAAGCATGTTCCTGTTTTCATCTGTGAAATGCTTGGCACCCAATCAGTTCAAACTGGACATCAGCTGGGGCTGTTAAGCCAATCTGTTGCCCCCATGCAAATAGTACCCTTCTAGAGTGCTTACAGCATCTTTCGTATGTTTGCAGTTAAGAGATTAGACCAGCTGTTCATCTGGGATTTTAATCTACAAACACATTTTTATAAATACTCAATGTACTGTTCATTTGCATACACTTATTAAGCCCTAAGTATGTGAATATTAACTGACGTATGCTTTTAAATCAAATATAACACTCAAGGCAAGACCACTGCTGATTTACTTATAGACATTAATAAATCTCAATGCGCACAAACTGTAACAAAATGTTGGAGGTGAGGTTTGAGTCAAGGCACACAGCTACAGAATCTGATTTCAGTAGCAGGGCTCGTTCCCAGAATACATTACAGTAAAATAAATAGAATGTCTGAGCATGTGCAGAGCATCAGTTCCACTGAATAGCTGCACAGTGTTATGCCAGATTTAATATTGGGGAGCAGAATTTTTAGGGCAGATAGTAGGGGGTGATTTGTGTCCTCGTACCTCTTAGAGATTAAGTGCTCTTTACATCCTAATCCAAATGTATGCAAATTAACATGGGAAATAGGCCACTGCTTTGTGCATCATTGTTAATCCAGATGTCTGCAAATGGAAATTTTCTTATTGCATAGCACCAAGGCTAAGCGCGCACGCACGCGCACGCACGCACGCGCACGCACGCACGCGCACGCACGCACGCGCACACACACAATAAAATAAAATTAAAACTTGATATGAAGAGGGAGAGAGATCAAGCCGAGGACTGCTGGGTTAAACATTATGCTAATGTAAACGAGGGAGTGGGTCTTCTGTTCAGCATAGTAATCATGTTTCCAATAGGGTGGTGTAGTCCATCCTGTGCCTTGCACTAGTCGCCTATCATATTCCCTGTAGCTCAGAATATAATGGATGTTCCTTCATGGGAGGGTAGGGGGAGAGAGAGAGCTGTGTTCCCAGCTGGTGGAAAATTTAGGACATTGGTAGCCTGACCAGCATGAGGAGACTGCTGAATACCATCTGCACCACAGAAAAATTCTTAGGCAAGACAGGATGGGGCTGATGGGAGTGAGTCACAGAATCATAGGGTTTTATTTTGTTTTAAGCTCGTGTGCTGCTGTTTCCTCAGTGCTGCACACCATTATTTTCTGGGTCAGTGCAGCAGAGGAGCATATGCCCGCGCTGCCCAGGGCGGGTGAGCTCCCGAGGGGTGTGTGGCATGGAGGGTGCCCTCCCAGGTGCGGGATAGCCACTCGGGTGCCCGGAGCAAGCCGTCCATGGCGGACATTCAGCACGCTGCCCGCCCACGACTCCCAAGCCTCCCCCAAGCTGTCAAAACGAAGGGGAAAGGGGGGAATGGCACCGGCAAAGCGGCGCAGCTCCCCCCCCTTACCCCGACGGCTTGGGGTAGGCTTGGGAGTCGTGGGCGGCACGCCGAATGTTACCCCCCTCAGTGAGGGCACCCGGGGCGGTCTGCCCCCACTGCCCCCCCTTCCTACACCCCATGGTCTTGATGTGTCAACAAGGGAGGCCTGTTTGATTCCTGACCAATGCTTTGGCCATTTTCGGGAAGGTGCTACAGCTAAGCGGTAGAGCTCACAGTTTGCACACATAGCCCCAGGTTCAGTTGCTAGGATCTCCTGTTAAAGGCACAGCTTTTCTCTTCTTATTTAACCATTATTTCTAGATTGCCTCCAAACAAAAACATCTACAAGATGCTGTATGTTACTGGCTTTCATTATATTCCACCTTTCCTCTAAGGTGGTCAAGGCAGCAGTCAAGCCACCCTCATTTTCTTCATCACCACCATCATCATCATCACAAAGTAGGGCTGTGCTGACTAATAGTCACTGGCCCAAGGTGAACTCATTCTTGAACTGGGATTTGAGGCTTCCCCCACGCCAAGTCCCAACAATAGTACCTTACTGAGGACATTGCTAAATAATTTTGCAGCTCGTTCAGATAGATTGGGAATCAAGCAAGCCAGCAAGCAGCAGTGAAAATGATGTGACAGAGATAAGCACCGCTGGAGTCTACTGTCCCAAATCAGGATAAGCGTAGCAGGAGATCACCTGCCTGTTTTAACAAAAAATTAATTACAAGCCAAGTAATAATAAATAAAATATGCAAGCAGGCTTGTTAGTTAATAATAATAATAATAATAATAATGCCACATTTATTAAACAACAGCACTATCCAGTCATAATTAAGTAATAATACAGCAATGAAAATTATAGCTGTAGTTTAAAAACAGCTTAGAATGATTGAGGCAGAAGCCTGCTCTGTCATTAAACATGACATACTAATGGCCCTCCACTTCCTCTCTGAAGGCTGCACAGAGAATCATTCCCCACCACTTTTATCCTCATAAACAACACAGTGAGTTAGGTTAGGCACAGAGATAGTGCCGCCTAGTGAATTCCGTGGTTAAGTGGGGATTTGAACCCAGGTCTCTCTCATCTACGGCAAGCGTCCTAACCATGACATCATGCAGATTTACCTCTTAGTGGTAGTGCGTTAGAAGCTAAAAGCTAAAAAAGCAGGACTCCTGAGGGAGGGAAACCCAATGTATCAGGACAGGTGAGTCTGGGCACCAGGAGTCCTGAGCTCAGGTTGGGAGATGGGCAAGAGAGGGGTGAGGGGTGGGAGAGGGGTGTTTCACAGCTGTGCCTTCCTCTACTTCATCACATGCCCATCTTCAGTGCCTCCTCCTCACACATCCTCTGTCTGTTTCTCCTACCCCCTTTTCATTTCCATCCATTGCTCCTACCCCCTATCCTTCCCCCTCTACCCCACTGCCCACCAAACCCGGGCCCCATAGGCGCCCGCCGCCTGCCGCAGCCAGCATCAGACTCCTCTGCCACCTCCTGGTACCTGCATGACTACAATGCCAACGCGGCCCCCTGGAAGCATGAGTAGGATGCCTGGAATGCAGGGAATTGGTGAGTAGGCTCCCCACATCACCCCACTCCCCACCCCATTACTCACTCTTGCAATTTAGTCCTCCTTGTCGCTTTCCTTCCCTGCAAAACTCGCCACCATTGACCACTTTGAAGCTCCCCTCCTCCAGCACCTAGAGTTACCAGCTGCATTTCTGGTAGGGCTCAGATGAAGAATAAACCGGTTGAAGCGAGGAACCAAAATGTTCCACCCATAGTTGCATGGAGAGGAAAGCAAAAATGAAAAAATGCCAAGAAAGAAACGGAAGCAGCCATTTTGGGGCTCGTTGGATCCTGCTGGATCACTACTAACCTACATAGCATCTAGCTGGATCCTCAGGATTTCTCTAGAGGAAGAGGACTGGGCTTTATTGGTTCTCCCTGGTGTGGTGGGCATAGTAATGTCAAAATAAGGCCTCTAAAATAAATAAATAGATAGAAAGATAGATGGTGATAGATAGATAGATAGATAGATAGATAGATTGATAGATTTGCACATTTATATAGGTTGCAGGTTTCAACCCCCCCCGTGTTAGAGTTGCTGCATTGAAGTTATCTTGGCAAGAATGCTGCTCTCCATTTTTACTGCAGACTACACATAACACTGAGTCTCTGAAGCAATTCCACCAATGCTACCTGTAGGGCTTAGGGTTTAAGGGAAGCCCTGTTAGATCTTCCCAAATATGGTTTTCCTTCTCCTTCTTTTTCTTCTGCTACTGCTGCCATTCAGCTGTTCCTTCTGAAGGAGTTCCAGGTGGTCATTCAACACCATCAAAAACGGATCAGAATTCTAGTCAACAGTTTCTAAGCTGCTGATCCTCTTTTGTCTGTCCTGGTCCTGAATCAACAGCCAATTTCACTGAACGATTTCCAAACTCCAGTATTAGGAAAGAAACTTCTCACATGGCCTGACTTTGGTACCTGGCATAGGGCGGAGGCAACTGGCTGGTTCTGCCCCCAGCACCCCCTTCACTTTGGCTCCTGGCAGTGGCACTAGCCTCTTATACCATGCTCACTTGCTGACTGGCATAACTGACGGCAGGAGTGCTGCTGGGGAAGTGAGTGAGGACATACGAGGGGACGCCCCTTTAGCTCTTGTTGCCTTATAAGTGCACATGCTGGTGAACACCGTGGAGAGGAGGTGGACCACCCACCCGCCTCTCTCTGGCACTTGCTTGCAGGGGTTTTACACCCTTGGGCAGGCATAGGCAAACTCCGGCCCTCCAGATGTTTGGGACTACAATTCCCATAATCCCTGATCACTGGTCCTGTTAGCTAGGGATGGTGGGAATTGTAGTCCCAAACATCTGGAGGGCCGGAGTTTGCCTATGCCTGCTCTTGGGCTTACCTGTTGGTGACATAACGAGCCACTGTCATCAGGCAAACCTGTTCACATGCATGCACATATCACAGAATCATAGAACTGTAGAGTTGGAAGGGACCCTGAGGGACATCTAGTCCAGCCCCCTGCAATGCAGTACTCTCAAGTGAGGGTAGGCACTAGAAGGCATTAAGAAGAGCCTGCTCAGGCAGCCCCTAAAACCTGGATCCAGCCCCACTTCTCTTGAACCACTTTCTCCACCTCATGCATCAATTTATAAACCCGTATTACTTCAAATTTCCATGGAAGGAGAGAGGGCTCTGCCTGTGTGATTTGTGCAAAGCTATTTAGTCCTGCCTTTCTCAAAATCCAAAATGACATGGTGATTGGAATGAACTGAAACCTGTCCTTGAACAGACACTGCACACAGTTCCCCAGAGGCCCTGCATATGTCTGAAATGCATTTAGCATACAGTTGCACAAAAAACACCCCCTTCACTGAGCTGTGAGAAATTCTGGAGGCAGCACCAGTGGGCTTAATTTCCTTTGGATAGGAAAGCACTGGTAGAGATTCACTAAGAGTGCCTTGGTAATATTTGTTTGACAAATATAGCAGCAGAATATAAGTGGAAGCGAGCAGGCACTGCTACAGGGAGAGAGCATCTTGGGCAACCCCCAGGCTCCATCACTCATTTCAATGAACTCCACATAAAAACCCTTTGCTCTGAGCCTTCTGGACTGCTACTTTGTGGTCGCTCGCTCTTTTTACACACATACACACAAACAGCAGTCCCACTGTTCACCAGAAAAAGCATTACTTTCTCCAAGTTATGATAGGTATCTCAGGGCGCTTCCAGACTGTCACCATTTTGGGGTAGGATTCAGTCACAAACTGGCAAATCCAGGCTGTGCAATTACAGTTGATTGGGAAGTCTTGTAAAACCAACCTGCTGCCCCACCCCGCCCACCCCCAAAAACGGAAAGTGACAGAAACTGGAAACTTAGGGATAACACTTGCTTGACACAGCACTATCTATTCTCCCCACAAACAAATCAGGGGGAATGTGCTGATAGCATCTAATCTCTCAAAAAACAAATCAGAATAAATGCTCATTAAACAGGTAGTGTAGAAGTGACCTTGTTCAAAGGACCAGAGAAATTCCTCTCCTATCTAGTGGCCTTCTCCTGACTAGTAGCGTCTGTTGATCAGCCAGCCATTGACCAGTCGTCCTAGACTATTAATGAGAAGTACATTACAATGAAATGCTGATAGGTTGGCAGACCCTGTCATAGTACTGTAGAGTTGGAAGGGACTCCAAGAGTCATCTAGACCCCTAGATCCTTTTCACATGTACTACTGGCAAGCCAGGTCTATTATTTTTAAAATCACAAATCAAGCTTAACAAAGTAAAAAAACAAAAAACGAAGAGCCCCTACCCCAAGGAGCTTACAATCTCAATTTTGACAGTGAGAAGGACAAAGGGGAAAGGCAAGGCAAGAAAATATGAATGCGAGTATATGCAGTTATGTGTTCTTAGTCCCGCCACTCAATGGGAACATTCTGTATAAGTGTGTACCGGACTGCAGCTTAAGTTTCAGGTAGGGATGAGGTCCCTAAACCAGGCCCATCATGAAACAGCTCTGAATTCTGTTTGCTTTGAGGGGGGAGCTCTATATTTCTACCCCTTTCCCCACCTTTCATAACTATAGGCACTCAGCTGTCTTTACAACCCACCCACCCCGGTATCCCATGTGCTTGTGGCTTATTTCATATTATCTGTTTTCATTTTCAGGGCAAATATTGCGCCTGTCCACAGAAGGGAACACGATTGGGGGGCCCCATAGCTCTGGATTTGAGGATGCCCATAGAGACACAACAGGGTGGGGATGAGTGCAGGAGCTGTACTCCACAGCACACACACACAGAGAGTAAATAATCATGCTCAGAAGATGAAACTGAGAAATGGGTGTTGCTGGAGGAGTCAGCAGGGATGGTGAGGAAGGGGGATGGGGGGAATGAAATGCACTTGGGAGTGTGGGCTTGATTTGGTGTAAGGCTAGAAGCATAAAAGGAAATAGGGATAGGTTAGCACAAAGGATAAGTATATTTGAACTGCACAAGGATTTATTAAGATGCTGGGCTCCCCTCGTGTTCTCCCCAAAGATGGGCTGCACCAATATTTGATTCCAATTAATGCCCCATTTCATACGTCTTGTAGGGTCCACCCTGTATTCTCGTAACGCCCCGACCGCGTGAGCCAGGTACGTAACTCGCTCCACACACCTTAGCCTGCTTGTTTTTTGCACCCAGGGGGAATATATTCCATTTTTCACAGGGAGCCGTTTGGATGAGGCTGACACCTCTTGCAGCCTCACCCCAGCGTCCAGTGCATGGGGGTGGGGTGGGAAAGTGGAGGAGAGCATCAGAAAGAATGCCTTCTTACACCAGACTTGTGAAAAAGACCATTCTAGGGTCTCCATACGTCCGGAATTTCCCAGACATATCTGGAATGCTGCAGTTGGAAGCAGTGTCCGGGCATAATCTGCTAAAAAAAAATATGTCCAGGAAAATCCGGACGTATGGCAACCTGTGTTGGTACAATGTTGTTTTTTGGTGATTTTCCTTAAAAATAGCTCAAAAACATACTTTCTTTTGCGAATTTGCCAAAAGAAAATTATTCAAAAATAAAAATAAATAAATAAAGCACAACAACCGGATGTTCACTGTTTGAAATATGGCAACCCTAGTTGTTTGCCTGTCTAATCTCCTTTTGTTATCCATCTGTGGTGTTAAAGAAACAAAGGCATCAATTTAGGTGAAGGTTGTATGCATGGTTGCTTGGATGCAGTTCTTAACTCACCCCAGATGACAAGGTGAATGACTAATTCTGCCTGCCCTTGAGGTTTCCTAGGATTAGCTACACACTCCCCCATCCCCAGCACCTTGGCCCTTCCTAAACTGCTGTCCAATGGGTCTGGTGCCAAAAAGCCACTATTTCAAATCCTGTGGGTGCACTCCTCTCCCTATCTGTAGACAATCTCTACTATCCTGTTTCCTGGTGCAGAGTGCCATGCATATGGAATTGAAACCTATGTGCAAAATCCTATTTAAAAGTGTGAAGGAGATAAAGGTGCACCTTTGTTGTGGTTGTAAAATCTAAGTGTGTGTGTGTGTAAGTGCAGAAGAGGTAAGTGTGAAACTGGGCACCTGGTGAACATGTTCAAAAAGTGCTGCATGCCAGGGAAGCTCTGCTCTCCATCTGCACATGCAAAACCTGGATAAGCAAATGAAAGGAAATGTGACAAACACAATCAAAGTGTTTGCACATCTGCATTTGTACCTGTTTGCAGGTGAAGCTTTTTCTGCTCTTGCAAAATGGGCTAAATGTGCAACTTGCTGCTGGGTTGCACATGGTTATGAAGACTTGCATGTGCAAATAGAAGAGATAAGCTCCGTGTCTCTGAAGTTTTGTTTCACAGAAGTGACTTCTACGTAGGAAACATCTGTGAAGCAATCCTCAGAATGTGCAAATTTGACTCTCATGCAAGTGCTGCCTGTGCCATTGAAAATGCACCTGGCAGCGTGAGGAATGTGCACTTTTGCACGTGCCGTATTTCTCCCCCTCCTCATTCCCGTTGTGTGCATCAGTAAGCGTGCATCAGTTCCTTGCAAAATTAACCCCCTTTCTCATGCACACAAAGGAAGTGAACATTGCTCTTTGCCGCTTGCACAACCTGTCCTGCTTAGCATTTTCAGCGCGGTGTGATCAGGTCTCCGTATCTTTCTCTGTCTCCAGCTCTGATTACCGCCTGAGACTGGCTGGGCATGTGAACTCCAGCGCCCCCCCCGGAGGCAGGTCAGCCCTGCTCAATGCTTTCAATCCAATCTCAGTGTGTTGTCACTTCTGCTCCTGGGGTGGGCTGCCTGGCAGATGGGAATCCTCAGGGCATCACACTGTGCAATAAGGTCCTTTTTCTCCACCCTGATCAGAGCTGAGTTGGGAGCACTTGTTCATGCAGGGATCCTTTGTGTAGTGGTGTTGAGATGCAGCTGTCTCCATGGTGGAGCAGCTCTTCCACATGCAGGTAAGCCTCACTGTAAGGCTTTCATGGGCAGAGAAACTGGGCCTTGCTTTGCAGTAGGTTTAGTGTGATACCCTGAAGAGAAGGCTGGCATCTCTGTATTGCATACTTTAAACATCCAGTAACATGCTAGTCTGGTAAACAGAGCATGCTGTATAGACACTGCTTATCTGCATGCATGCATAACATAACACATTACATGGCATGTAGTATGCCACAGGCGTATGTGGTGGCATGTTTTCCATGTGCATGTTATGCAGCATAGTTTCTAAGACATCCTACTCCAACATACAGTGTGCTGCAGAAGTGCACAGCACATATATTGACATGCCACAGACACACAGGGTCACAGGTAGTGTGCTGTAAACGTGGTACATGAAGTTTCACCGTATTCATAAATATGCATACACACCGTTTATAACCGTGCTACGTATTGGTCCAGCACAGTACATGCTTGCATTTGTGGTTCATGTGTTAACACACTAGCAACACATACTACGTGCATTCTGATAAGCAGGTCCACACACCCTACGGCAGGCTTCCACAGCCCAGTGCACTCTAGATGCTGTTGGACTACATTTCCCATCATGCTTCACTACTGGCCATGCTGGCTGAGCTATTGGGAGTTGTAGGCCAGCAGCATCTGGAAGGCACCAGATTGGGGAAGGCTGCACTGTGATACATGCTTGGCCACAGGCAGAATATGCAACCCCCGTTGATGTCATTTTTGCATACTGCTCCATCAGACATTCTGATTAAATGCATACTATTAATAGCCGTACACATATCTGCTCTAGTTCACAGTCTGCATTGTACCCAGTACCATATTGTTCCAACACATACATTTTATACATAGTTCATGCTACCAACATAACGCAGTCTGTTGTGACCTCCAAACCCATGCATACATATGTGATTACATGTTATTCAGCTTCGAGGTGTCCTTTATTATGTACTCCGATGGCAGATCAGTGACATGTAAGTATCTATTTATATCTTTATTTGTTTTTGTGTATATAGGCTTTTCTTAGAGAGGCTCCAGCTGTGTGTTGTCTGCACTGTAAACTGCAGTCCCTTCCCTTGGAAGCTGCTGTGACTGAACACACCACATGTAGTGATCACCTTCTGCCCCTAGGTGCCACATAGGATGCCACGAGGGCACTTACCTGTCCCCTTTCCACACATAATATGCTAAGCAACTATGTTACAGTTCAAAACAGGCTCAATTCCCATGCATCTCGTCCCCCTGGCCTGTTTTAAGAGGAATGCAAGCACGGTGTACATGTTTTTGCTTGTGTTGCATGCCTAGCTTTGTGGGGAACCTATCTGTGAGCATGTAATGGGGGGCAGTGAGGATTTCTGCTTCCTAGGGAAACAGAGGAGAGATGTAGGAAAGGATATAGGGTGGAGCAGCAGGAAGCCAGGCTAGGATTCTCCAGAGAATGAAAAGCATATAGTCAGTTCCCCACAGTACAAGATCAGCTTATATGAAAGACTATTTGCTACTTTTTTTTTCTAATTATGTTTACAAAAAACCTACCACAATCTTTAAATGGCAATCATGTAAGCCAAGCCAGTATTATTATTGGCAATGCTAATTTCAGGAGGGCTTTTTTTTGAGGGGGGAGCAGTCCCTTGGGCAAGACATTCTCAGTGCTCCCATCAGCCAAACAGGCCCACTTTGTTCTGCTTGCCACTGTTCCCACTGCCTATTTCCTGGCCTCTCCCTCTGTGCCCAATTCACAGCACTTTCCAGAGGGAAAGGGCAAAACATGCAGAGGTTACTGCAGAGGCATGTAGAGGTTCTCCTCACCCATATAAGGTAGATGAACAGGCTGCATCAACAGCAGAGAGGAGGAGCAGTCAGGCTAGGAGGTTCTGAGAGTCAACAGTGGCAACCCTTGACAGCAGCCCTAATTATTACGGAAAAGTTTAACCTTTTCCTGCTTTGCTGTGGTCTTGACAAAAAGTGTTCCTTTGAAGCTGCTCTTTGCAGGAAGAAGAAACTGGGGCAAATGGGAGATTTCTTCACAGTGCGGTACAGTCCCAGTTTCAGAGGCAGGATTCCCCCTCCCTCCACAGCGGCTGCGGTTCTAAACATGATCAGCTCCCTCCAGCTGATGCTAAGAGTTTTGTTTTGTTTTTAAAGGCTGAATGTTAAATGCAAAGAGGCATCCATTTAAGGTCACGTCTCGTTTGGCCCTCAGCAAATTCAGTTTCAGCTAACAGCTCATGCTCTTCAAGACTGAGGCCACAGAGCTTCCAGTTAAGGAATGCTTTGGCTTAGAATTATAATTGTGGGATAATGTTTCCAAGTTCAACATGGAAGATCGAGCCTGAGACTGGTTGTAGAAGGTAACATTGATTTGGGAGATGGTCAAGAATGGTGGTATGACACACAGGCAGGCACAGGCTGACTGACAGCCCAAGGAACCCAAACCAGGGTTGGCAGCTTTGCACAGCTTTCTGGGACATTTTGTCCGCATGTGGCATCTGAAGCTTGCTGAGCTGATAGCTACAACCCTGCCCTCTAGCAATCTAGAGCAGCAGCACTGGGGAAGGGTTATAGTTCAGTGATAGAGCACAAGCACTGTGTGCAGAACATCCCAGATTCAATTCCTTTAATTTTCAGGTGGCAAGTCTGATAAAGACTTCGGCCTGAAACCTTGGAGAACTAATGGCAATTAGAGTAAGACAGTGGCTATGTTTGAACATCAGCCAGTGGCTCCATAAACCTTCATAAATTTGGCTTAATGTCATTTAACAAGCTGGGATCTGCTCAGCCAAAATTATCTTGGTTTGTTAATCAGCATCAAGACTAGAGTTCCTTGCTTCAGACCTAACAGGGAACTTTTGGTAAAAGCAAAATCTTTGCCAAATCCCAGGGCATGAAGGAAAGGTTGAAGGAGAAGCACCAGGCCACAGTGCGCAGCCACAGCTTCATTGAATGTATGAAGCCATCAACAAATCTCCAGATGTGGCCAGTGCTGAGCTAAGAGGACCAAGAATCTAGTATATCAGGCATATGAAGTGTAGCAGAGGGCAGCTCCCTCCTCTAGCATGCTGCTATGGTTGCTAGTGCCAGAGTCCCTACTGTGAGAGAGTCAGGGCCTTAACTTGACCTGTGTTCCTCTTCCCCCGTTCACCCCTTTCACTTCTCTCCTTTCCCCACAGCGCTTCCAACAGGCTATGAGAAGTCCCACAGCCTGAACAGCATTGCTGGACTGCGCCTGTCTCCGGCGCCCACTCCTTTCGGCTCGCCTGGTTCCGTCCGACGTCCCCGCTCGCCCATCCCTTCCATCCTATAGAGACGCACCAGGGATGCTTGGGGTTAGCTTGTATGTTCGTTTATTTTTTAAAAAATATATAGAGAAGAAAAAGAAAAAAAATAAGGTAATGCCAAAAAAAAAAGGAAAAAGAAAACAAAGGCGGTCAAATGCATTGGAACAAGTAAAACACAGGAGGCATCTCACAGGTGATGTTGCACTAAAGTTTGCACTTTCTGGAGTGTCCATGAGAATCCCGAGGCCTGAAGCCTTCTGTTCCCGTGGCTATGGATCAAGAGTGGGGCTTAAATAATTTACCGGCGGGAGGGTGAATGCGGGGGGCTGGCTTGCTCAGAAAATCCAAATACTCCGAAGAGGAGGAGGTCACTGAGAGATGGACACTGCAGGAAAGGGGCTCTGGCCCTCCTCTCTGGGTTGCCTGCATTTCTCCCCCTCTTCAACCTCACTAGAGTGCACGATTTTTCTCTGGCCCTGGCTTTGCGCTTTATTTCTCTCCCTTTAGTGCTCTTCCCCTTTTCATCATCTTACTCAGGACTGCAATGAGCCATAGAGCTTAGTGACAAACTTCCTTGGACTTCTCTCTCTCTCTCTCTCTAACACTGTAATCTGTTTTCAGTCTACCCAAGTCCATAAAACATATTTCCAAGTGTCAAAACTATCCACACTTTAGATATCCACCCAGTCTTTCTCTCTCTCTGTCTCTTTCTCTCTCTCTTCTTCCTTACTTACTGAGCAATTCTGATTCTTTGAACACATGGACACTCCACCGTCTCCCTGGAGAAGGCCACCCCACCCATCTGCCTTTGGCCTTCTATTATCTTTCCTTGGAATTGTTCTCTTTTGTGCATGGATCTTCCATCAATCACAAGCAATAAGGTCAAGTGCTCCCTTCTGCCTGATGCATGATAATGACTTTCCTATGATGTAGATATTCCAAGAACACTCAAGTTCCTACAGATGAAGGAGCTGAGGGCAGGCATGGAAACCAGAATGTGGTTGGGGAGCAGGAAATTCCAGGATTTGACTGGGTCTGAAGGAGAAAGCTTAAGAGACCCAGCCTTCTTCCTTCACGTCTCCCCGCCCCACTTCTCTTCTGTTCCTTTTTTCGTTTTCCGCACACAGAAAAGAAAACGGTAATGGAGCACTCCTTGTTAAGGTGAGTGCTTTCACTGTGATTTTTTTTCCTGATTCCATCCGAAGCTGGGATGGAGTGGCGCTTTGATCTGATTGCAAAAAAAAAAAAAAGGAGCGGGCAGAAATAAAGAGACTCAACAACAACAAAAATGAAATGCAGGAAAACAAAAATAAACCTATTTTTCAGCAGATATATATATATATAGAACAACAGGATCAGAACATTTGTTGGCGACCATGTGTGGGGAAATATTTCACCTGTAAGCTTCTCCTGGAGCAACAGAATATGGGGACACATTATTTAGCAGCAGAGTACGGGACATATTATTTTTCAAAGCAATGCTGCTGAGACAGACAAAATAAAAGCTTAAGGAATAGTGTCGCCGAGCTAAACTATTTAGAATCTGCATTTTCCAAGCCAGCATGTATTTGCATGTGATACTGTAAGCGACAATATTTAATGTTATATGCAAAAACAAAAGAAAAAAACAACAACACAAAAAAAGAACAACTACAACAAGAGAGAGAGGTATACTTTCCTTCTGGACTTGCAATGCCCTGCAACAATAAAAATCACCAAATTTAGCCAGTGCCCTCTCCCCTGACCTGTTCCCATCCCGCAAGGGGGTTGGAGGCACCACACATTGTAGGAGCCTGGTGTATCCTAAAGGGCTTTTTCCTTCCCTGGGTGTGGGATTATTGATGGCTGTAAGATGCCGGCAAGGAGAGCTCTCTGTCACAGAGCAGAATTCAAAAGCCTCGTGTTTGTAAGAAAATGTTTATAAATCTGAAACAATGCAAGAGGGAGGAGAATGTTGTGCACACTGTCAACTCATATAAGTAAGCCCCAGAGGAAAAGACAGGACGCAGCAAGGCTGGGGATTTATTATGTGAGTGTTCAGAGAGTTGGCCCAGCAGGACTGCAAAAAGCAGTGGTTTTGAAGGGTGGCCAAGCTGAAAACAGGAAGTGAGAGATGCTCTGATGTGTTGCAAACTCCATACATAGAGGCATTTTCTGTAGCTGATGTATTTTGGTGAAAGAATTCTATTTTGTCAGTGGGGTATAATACAGAGTGGCATGTTCCCTTTGTAGATGTTCTGGAAGATGGGAATCTTCAGTGCCTCAGCTACCATTAAAAACCGGTTCCCCAAGCAATTAGCAGTTGTAAAAGAGGAAAAAACAAACAAACAGCAAAGCACCACCGCTTGTTTGAAAAGTATAGGACCAATCTGACTGAATATTTTTTTAGGTGTGTTAAGATTTGCAAATTTGCACAGCTCCAGTTTTTCCAATTAATGCACTTTTGAAAAATGTAAAACTATGTTTTGTAAGAGGCTTAGGAAACGAAGAATGAACTGTTGGAAGATGTATCCTTACAGTTTTTAAAGAGAATTCCTCAACTTGGAAGTGGTTCTGGAGCTTGACTGAGCCAGTGATGGAGGCAGGGTGACCCCTGTGGCAGCCAAAATATTTTGTGTGTGGTCTGAAAGTGAGCTTAATAGGGGAGGATTCTGTCCTCAACCTTGTTGCTTGTTCCATAAGCAGTCTTAAAAGTCGCTCTCTAGGAACGAATATTATGCGTAGCTGATGTGATTGGTATCCCATAGTTCAATGCTGATCCTCTTGCTTCTTGTTGGCAGGCCTTGCATTCACAGGGTAAAGACATTCATATCCTTGATGGCTGATGTGTGATAGCCAGAGTTGCACAAAAACAAGCTATCTTGTGGTTATGAAATGGCAGCTGGTAGGCACTGGCCAAACTGATTTATACGTTAACCATTATTTACTCCATGTAAAGCCTGTGCTAAATGCATCACATCTTCATCAGCATCTGATTAGCCTTATGGAGTACAGAGCTGGTCTATTAAATGTTGACCTTAAAGGTCATAGATACCTTGTTGTCATTAAACTTATCAACACCAGTAGCTGCATATCATTGTGGTGGCCAAGTGATCAGCTCTCAGAGAGCTTAGAAACCTTTCCCTTTCCACCACTACACATTTGATAAAACATGTTTATTTGTTTATTTAAAATATTTCTGTCCCAACTTTCTATCTCTCCCAACAGGATGCCATGGCAGCTAACAAAAGTTACAGTACCACTGTAAAAAATCAAGAGCAAGATATGTTAAAAGAACATGTAGTTCATTTCTCTTATGCTAACCAGACAGGAGCAAACTCATTTAGTTCAGACAGTGGGTGCTTAACCCATAGTCTGTGTCAAGCTATCCATAGTAAACAGTTACCAGTTCTTGACCAGTTGAAGAAGCTACCTACCATTCACATTTAAGAGATAAAATGACAAATACTCTTCTCTTATGCCTTCTATACTTTGGTTCTCCTAACTAGTAGAAGTTCAAAATCTCCTCTTACTCATCATTGTAGCAGTATAAGTAGCCTGCTTTTTGTAGTTTAAGCTTATTACTCAAAGCACTTGGTCTGCTGTTGCCAAAGCTACATTTGTACCCATAAAGACTTTAGAAACTTTTGTGTTAAATGAGGAGCAATAAGACAAGCTAAAAGGAAACGGAAGAAGGCAACAGCATGTCCATTGAGAGAAGGACAGTGGAGACAAGACTTCATTCAGACAATCATATCTCAGCCAGATAAATCAAAATATGAATGAGGCTTGTGTCTGCACATGCAACCCCTTCCGCCATTCTCAGAGTATTGTAGTTAAACTTGGAAGCCTTCAATTATTAACTGTATTTTTCCATTTCATTTGAACCAAGACATTATCATTATCATGTTCAGGACAGGACAGGACCTTAAGTCACCTTCAAACCATGGTTTAAGATCATGGCTTGTTCCAAGCCTGGTGACCATAGTTTCCCAGTTTAGATGAAGTAGGAAATTGTGGTTGAGTCACAATTTCATGGCTTATTGTGGCACACCAACAGTGCAAAAACAGAGGCAAAATGCTTGTGTACATCTTGGCTTATTTAGCAGAGATATGATTGTCCAATGTCAGCACTGGCTATTTTATTAGACTTTTGTCTGCATTGTACCCAGTTGTAACATTTTTTCACAGTCCAAATTGATCAAAGGAGTTATCTCATGTGAAAGTAACTTCTTTTTAATGCCCATAAAATAGCTCTCTTATAGATATAACCAAGGGGCTTCTGGGACTGATTTGAGGGTGTGGGAAGTCAGCCAACCTGAGAATCAATGACAGTCATGTGAATGAACCAGTTCCCCATTATTCTGAACTTGGAAAATCAGGTTTGTTCTGTGGTTAGTTAAAAAAACCCAGGACCAAACTATGCTTTAAAATCCTGGTTTATTAACTACCTGTTAGTTAGGCAAAATCACAGATTCCCAAATTTGGAAATAATGGGGAACTGTAACTAGTTCAAAAGTGGAAGTTTTTATCTTCTTTTTGTGCATGCAGAAAATGAAGAGAGGGGAGGACTGGGTGTGCTAGCTTGAGCTTTGTGCAGGCTTGCTCTCATAACAACAAGCCATTGTTTGCTATCATACCTAGATCGGACATGGGAATGCATTTATGACAAATTATATCCGTTTATACCAATTAAACTCTCATAGCTCACAGGCACAAAAACTCTTTCCTGGGAATTGCAGTTGATTGTAAGGTTATTGGAAATTCTGTGTTAAGAGATCCTTATAAATCTTCCTCCATCTCTCAGTGCTATTGTCCCTAGGTTTCTTGGGGATTATGAACGAATATTAAGCCAGTTCAGGTCTGTGGGGTGAATGTTTAGTTTGTTTTGTTTTGTTTTAATATTTCAGCCTTGATAATCCAGCTAAAGATAATCTGAATTTAGGCTAACATAGTTGAAACATCCGTAAATAAAATATAAGAAAACAATAATATGAAATATAACCCCAACAATAGCAGATTAAACACTTCAGTATAAAAACCGAAAGCCTGTTGAACTAAAACTGTCTTCACTGCCCATCTGGAAGCTAATAAAGATGGAGCTGAGCTGTCTTTCCTTGGGAAGAGTGCACTCCAGAGTCCCTGTATTACAGCAGAGAAGACCTTGCTCATTGTGTCCACCTGCTGCACATCCAACAGTATGCCCCATAATTCAGAATGGCCATTGGGCACCTGTTATTTCTTATATGTGTGTGTGTTTGATTTCCAGACCACCTTTAGGGCCCTCTATTAAGGCAGCTACTAATTTATAAAACTCAATATATCACTGAAGTCAGAAACATATCAAAATTCCATAAAGCAGCAAAGTCCGTTTAAACAGCCTTGCATAATAACCTTTAAAATATTTAAAAATATTTCTAGCCAAGATAAATCCAATTTAAAATATCAGTACTCAATATCTGTCAAAAGGAAACAACTTAAAGCAAATTGGTCTTTGGAACCCATTTGAAGGCATCCCACAAGCATTGGGGCCTCAACAAAAGAGGCACTAACCCTCATGCCACCAACCTAATCAGTCTCACTGACCAGGAGGGCCTTTGTAAATTACGGTAATCTCAGAGTTTGTATAGGTGAAAGTGCTAATTCAGTTAACTGGTCCCCAAACCATTACAGCTTTAGTGGTCAGTATCAAGTCTGAATGAATTTAACCAGCCCAAAGTCAATTAAAAGAGCCTTCCCAGTTGAAGGATGGATAAAAGCATTGTTAGATGCAACCAAAACGTTGCCACACATTGTTTACATGTTTCTAACACGCACCCTGAAATACATACTCTTAGTTTGTTTCTTATAATCTATTATGTTTGCAAAAGGATTTCAGGGCAAATGACAAAACACAGCATAACATCCATTAGTCAGCTGATTTTAATGGTATTCATAGAGATTCTAGTTGTCCTTAATATTAGGGTCTTGTTGTGTCGAATACGTTCATTATGTGCTAGCCTAGGGATTATTTACTTCCTCATAGGTAATTTAGTTACAATTGTTCCTTTGGTCTAGTTAAGAGTGGAAGTTCTGTTGAAATCAGTGGGGCTATATTCCTACTAAATGCATTTCAGGATTAGAGCCGTGTTTTGTAGTTTGCGTAAACATCTCCTGATCTTGCTAACTATGCTCTCTCATCTTCATCAGCATGTGATTGGCTTCTCAGCATCACATGCTATTGAAATCATTCCATCGGTAGAATGCTGCCGTGATACTAGCAAATGCCAGCAGTGACATATAAGGCCTAGTTTACATCAAGGTGGTCAATCTGTATCTGCGCTGTACCAGTTAAGATTGCAAATTGGGGCTTCCTTGAATTAATGCCACATACAACAAAATAAATAAATCCAATAGCATAGAAAATTAGATGTCAAGGAAATGGGTTCTTCTAGCCAATATAGGTCCTTGATGCTAGTTACATATCTGTGTGCAGCATTATTATTATTTTAGAGACGACCATTCAATTATGTGTCCCATTCCCTGCAGTCCAGAATGCTACAACCATTGTGAGAACTACCCATCAGATGTTCATAGAGGCAGTAATTCAAAGGACCATTTTTCTCAATGATCTTTCAAATCTCATAATTCTACTACCCTGGTTAGCAACTAGGTAGGACTACTTTAGGAAGGGAATAAGGAGTGTTGGGCCAATGCTTACATTCCTTAAAAGTGGACTGTGAGCATGTTCTGTTAGTACCAATGCCACTTTCTTTACACATTTTATGACTTTAGGTTGCCTCTGTTCATCCTTCAGGGGGCTGGACTTGACCCAGAAATGTCCAGTTACTGACCCCTGTTCTTTGTTTTCATCTAATTCTTATTGAGAAAGGAGCCTTGAGTCCAATAACAGGACCTTGGTTAGCTGAACCCTAGGGTTGCCATATTTCAAAAAGTGAAAACCTGGACACAAAAGTTGAGCTATTTTTAAGGATATTTGCCAAAATCTACATTTCTGACAAGGGTTGCCATACATCTGGATTTTCCCTGACATTTGAGCAATTTCTGCCCAGACGCTGTTTCCGATGGCCGAATACAGTACCGACTATGTCCAAGAAATTCCAGAGGTATGGCAGCCCTACTGAATCCTAACCTCTGAACTTGAGGACTTTGTGGCCTGTATTCTTTAATGCAGTCTGTTCTTTAATGCAGAACAGTAAAACCCAGTGTTATTGAAAGTACACATATTGGCCTGTAGGGTTGTGTGTGATTAACTATTTCACTCTGATTATTCCCCCCCCCCATTTTCTTAAGAGCTACCACTCCCTATTTGGAAACCTACCCATCTCACATACTATGCAAACATTTCCCCTGCTTCTGTGGAGGCACATACATCCCACTCCTCCCCAAGAATCCTATCTAACCTCAACCTGTAACCCCCCCTCCCCAGATAGTGGAAGCTCTTTATGCAACGATTCCTATGCAAAAATATATAAAAAATAAATAGCTGGCTAGATTCAGGAGAGTGATTGGGAGCCCCTCTCCTCTGGCAAATTTGGGAGAGGGGTTAATTAATGCAAGCTCCTGTCTAAAATAAAATTCCCTTTGTGGTGCATTTTCCTCCTACCCACATCCGGGCTGGGAAAATGGGGGGCAGTTTGTTAAGTTGGTCATATTGACCAAGATTTCCCTTTAAAGGACACACAGAGTCCCATATTAAGTTGATTTAATAAATGTCCAGGTGTGTAACTGAGATAATGGGGTGGGGAGGCATTTGAGGGAAGGGGTGTGTTGACTAAGGCCGCAATCCTGTGGATTCTTACTAGGGAGTAGGGCCCATTAAACACAATGAGATTTCTAAGTAAACATACTTCGGACCCTGCTATACAAGTCTGCTCCCCTTTGATGTGGTGCCCTGTGCCACTCTACAATATTGATACCCTAAAACATAACTAAGCAAACAACAAGCCAGTGTGCATTCTAACCTGCAGGTGCTCCTGCAGCAGACGGCCGCCTTTATACATCATGGTAACGATAGATTTTCTAGAAATGACTCCCCACCACCACTTTAAAAGTTATATATGTAGGAGAGGAACGGGACTGGTTAGCCTTGGGACTTCTGTGTGTGTTGCATTTCTGCACTTTAAATCCTGCCTCCCACTCACCTATCAGGGTTAATGGGCAATTTCCTTTCACAACATTTTCATTTGTTGTAACTGGTTTCCTTCCTTTGTATGGTTTGGTTTGGCTGGTTTGTTGGAGCTGATCTTCATGTTCATGAAGTACAGCTCTCCTGGACTATACCACTTCAGAATACAGTGGGGGGTTTTCAGGGGGGCGGGTCACAGTTTGCATAGGCTTGTCTCCAGGTGAGCAGTGGGGGAGGAAATTTGTGCAAACTGGATTGAAATAGGTTCTTTGCTTTTTCAGTCTGTAGATGGCTTACATGACTATGCATGAACATGACCGCTAATATTTATTTGTTGATAGTAAACTTTGTGGAGTTGGTTTGCCAGTTTGAATGCTCCCCCATTTTAAAAATTGTGTATCTGTAGAAAACTAACATGTCAAGGAGAAGACAAGCCTAGAATCAGCAACATGCTAGCTTTCTGTGGATAATTTTTATTTTGTTTTATTTATACCAGTCAAGCATTCTGAAGTAGTACAAGCCATCCTGCATCCTGAAATGGTGGAGTCCCATTAGAGCTGTACCACACGTGTTTTGCAAATTGGTTCTGAATGCAGAGACTGAGATAATGTTGTAACAGCATCTCTACCCAAAAGTACCACAGACCCCACCTAGTAATATTGTCACTTTATTTGTATGTTCTCCTTTTGGGGTAGTTTCTTCCCTGCCCAGATGAAGAAACATAATTTTTCTATGAAAAAAATTGTAACAGCAACATCAGTGTTGCTCTCACATTCAGTATGTTAATTTTAGTAGAATCGTCTTCTCTTTTTTAGTATTTCTTTAGAAAGCATTTGACACTTACATGGCAATAGAAATATGTTTTTTGCAGCTTCAAAATACCTTGTTTTCTTTTCAATTTAAATAATTTTGGTTTCTAAATTCATTTTGTGCAATACAGGGCTCATCCAGACTTCTGTTTGCCCCACTGCTTTCCCCTGGGGAAACCCAAATGCCTAGTGCTTGATCTTTAGCACTCAGTTTGAGCACCTTTCTGGGCAGCAGAAGACAAGCAGAAGTGTGGATGAGCCCATAGTTGAGTTGCCAAAAAAACAACCCCTGCATTTTTAGGGAAAAAATGATTCATGTATTTGAGTTGCCAAAAAAATGAAGAAAGAATGTGGTTTTTTACTATAAAATATATATTCCAGGACACGGGGGAAATTAATAAAAAATAAAATGTGACCCCCTTTTGTAAGAAATATGGGGAAATGCTAGTTGGCATTGATATTTTCCACATGCAGAATGCTACCAGCTCTCATTTTTGCTTCAAAAACCAAAACATGTATGCAATTTTTCAAATTTTTGACATTTCTGACCCCCCCCCTTCTCCAAAGCAGAACAAAACAATCAAATTCAAGCAAGTTTAAGGTGTTTACACCTCCCCTGAGATTTTCAGGGTGGGGAATAAGTTATGATTTAAGAAATAATTTTTTAACTTGAGACATGTTGTGTTTTATTTTCAGTGTGCAAGAAGAGATGAAGAATGTTGTTTTATAAACTTGCACATAAAATATTCATAAATATGGAGGGTTGGAAATTTTAAAATTTGAAGAATGTCATGGGTTTTGAACAAGCTTCTACTATTAAAAAAAATAATCTGATTTGTTTTGGTTTTCATCCAAGCCAGACTGAGATGTTGTATAGAAGAGTATTGATGAAGAGCAGCCTAGTGGGGGCCGAGTTGTGAAGGAACCATCTGGCATCTGCTTAGGGTAGCATGCAGCCCATAACTGAAAATGTCCAGCTCAACAAAGACTATGGGGTTAATGGTGTCTTACATCAGTATTTCACCTGCATACCCTGGTGTTTAACTGGGTACAGAAAATGCGCTTGTGGTAGTTGTTTGTTGAGCGTTCTTTGTGTATGGTTGCCCGCAGGGCTTCTTTTGGCCAGAGCTCAGAAACTTTCCAGAGCACAGCTTTGGAACACAAAAATCAGTAACACCTCTGAGGATGCACGGAGTGCCTTTCCTTCACTACTAACTACAATCCATCTCCAATAATCTGGGAGCTTCTGAGTCAGAGGGTGAGGCTTCTGAGAAGGCTTGTGCCCTGGCACATCTTTTTTTAGGAGCTTATTTTAGAAAGCTTGCATGACAAATCTGTAGGTTGGTACAATGTGTATCAAGGTGAGAGTGCTTGTAGGGAGAGGGTGTCCTTCATGAAATCTATGAGCCCCACTCACTGACTTAACTTTAGCCAAAACATGCCCCACAGTTATTTTAAAAGGTAAGGAGCCAGGCCCCCAGCCTCCCTGTAATTCAAGCACTGTGTAGCCAAACAAACAGGAGAGACACAGTCTAAAGGCCTAAGGAAGACTTCATATGTTAACAGAGAAGTGAAGCGCTAAAGCTCTCTGAGAATCATCCTCTGCCCTCCACATGTTTTATTTCAAAGTCCTAGTCAGAAGTATGGGAGCTTTGGATGATGAATTGGCAAGGGAAAGGCACCCTGTACATGTTCAGAGGAATTATTCGCTTCAACCAGTACCTGCAGTAGAAAAAAAACAACACCCTTCCAGCTAGAGCATTATAGGAGAGGAGTGAATCCCAAGGCCAGATCTCCAGCTCAAGGTGAACAGGCTCAAGCACTAATGTGAATGTGAGTAAATGTCCCCAGGGAGTGCATGTGGTGGTTGTGAGGTGGTTCTAGGTTCTAGTTTGTGTGTTATTGGCCCAAAGATGGATGCTAACAGTTACCCACTAAGAGTGTGCAAGAATTTCCACTGTATGGTCATAAGGTAGAAACAGCCCAGGACTTGGTGTCTGAAGCAGAAAATCCAAATGGTTCCTTCACCCCATGATTGTGAAAATAGTAAAATAAATAATTGACAACATATTGGTATTGATCTATGTGCCAGAATGTGCTGACTGCCTTGTCCTACGGGTGGTAGTTAGAAGCAGGTCTTGTAGCGATGAAGCATAAAACTGACCATGAATGATGACTGAAATTTATCATGCAAATCTCTGCATTTGATTGAATATGGGCATTAGTGGAATAGTCCATTTGATCTTTTAGCCATTAGTGTAGGAGTAATTTGTATTTATGTCACTCTTTAGACGGAAACTAGTCTTTCAAGTCTTCAATGGCAGACTAGACTACATCTATCCAATTTGATGTATTAAGTTCACCCAGTAGCTGGAAACAGTTCTGATCAAAGGTGGGCTGTTTTTATTCAACATCCTTTAGCTCTGCCAAACTATGCCCTGCGTCTGTGTGCCTGTGCAACTGTCTGGGTGTGTCTGCTACAAGACAATCTCTCCTTACCTTTGCTAAGCTGGATACCTGCATCTAGGTGCATCCCCAAGGTGGGTGGTGGGAGGGGGGGAAATATACATGGATAAAACCCTGATTCATTCTGGAGGTACAGGGGACAGAGTGCCCTATTCTCTTGCAAATGGTAGGGGTGATTGAGGCCTTGGAAGGGGAGGGGAGAGTAGACAGCAGGTGCTTGAGGGGGGCTCCTACCTTTCAGCACTGCTTTTCCCCAATGCTGGATTAAATTGGGAGCAAGGGTGAGACATGGAGGAAAGACGGGTGATTTCAGACTCAGGTTGGGTGTGGGCGGGGGGAGTGGAAGTGTGGTTTTGCCCCATGTTGGTGGGGGTGTGGCTTATTGGGGGGAAGGTTGATTATGTTTGGCAGAGGATGGTGCCAAAAGAGGGGAAGGAGGGGTGGGCTCAGGGATGGTGGGGGAGGGACACAGAGCTATTTTTTCAAGCAGATGTAATATAATAATTATAATAATAAAATTTAGAAAGTGATGCTATTTTTTCACAAATCCCTCTTTTTCCCTCTTCCAGTTGCCACAGCAACATTTTTAAAAGTCCTGTACTGGAGGCATAAGGATTTCCCACGGGGCCAATCGAGGGAGAGAGGACCACTGAAAATGTAGGGGGTGAAGGAAGAGTATTATTTTGCCAAAAATAATAATATGTAAGAGAAAGATTTCTTTGTGGTTTTCAAAGCGTTCTTCTCCCAAATGTGAGTGATCTTTTTTCTGCTCACACTGAGCAAAAATATTAAATCATGTCAATTGCTCAAGAGGAACAAAACAAACAAACTTTTATAATTTTTTTTAGTCACCCAAAACTTTTCACTCTCTGAAAATGTGCAATTTGACTTTAAAAAAAAACAAAAAACTTTATTTACGCTCAATCCCAAAACTGAAACTTTAATATGGAATGCTATATTTTAATGCCTTGAAACTTGAAATTATTTTTTACTACTTTGTCATTATAGGTGACCAAAATAAATAAACTAGACCTGAAAAAAAAAATTTAAATCCTAAACATAAAGTTTTCAGGAATTTCAGTGTTTTAAAAAAAAACAACCAACAACATTTCTTTGATCATTCCAAAAAGAAATTGGACAGGAAAATTTCAAACAGTTCAAGAGAGAATTGTAAATGTGGGGGAGATGAACATTTCTCTGACACACACAACAGAAATGCCAGGGTCTTTATTCTACCCGACACCCCGTGGTATTTCCTTCCTTCACATGCAATTCATGTGCCAAAATGTTTTGAATTCTCAAATGAATGTTGAACTGTTAAGTGTTGGGAGGCATTTGGTGGGACTGGAGGGTCAATGGGGACAACATACACACTTGTATTAATGTGCCGAACCCCTTATCCCTTCTGTCTTTGTTTCATTCTTTATTTCTTCATGCTTCTCCACCTCCCGCACAGCCTCATTCTTCCTTCATTCTAGAGGAGCAGCCCTATTAGACTGTTGCAGCAAAACCAAACCAACCAAGAGTCTTGTTGTGGCACCTTAAAAACTCAATATAAGTTCGCTATAAATTCATGTCTTTAGTTTCAGTAATCCCAATTAACTGTCATGGGCTTCCCCCAAAAGAATCCCAAGAAATTTTAGCTTGGTGAGACTATTCCACCCGACTCTTGTACTTTCATTACTACAATTTCCCAAGACAGAGGGGAAGATTATTAAACTAGTTTCTGTCTTTGGTGTAGATAAGAGCTAACAAATTTATTGTGATGGATGCTTTCTAATTAAACAGGGCGGTCGCCTGTACAAGTTCCTGCTGCAATAAACTGTTGTCTTTAAGGTGTCACAAGAATAAGATTCTTTGTTATTGTTTTGCTAGGTCACACAGCCTCCTTATTGTCCTCTTGACAGGAAATTATTTCTAAGAATTTAAATTTTGCTCATTCATTCCATTCACATCCAAACCATTCTCGGTTCCAACGAAATAAGCAAAGTATGTTCTCTTTCCACTCCCTCCCCGCACCCCAACTTGCCTTTCAAAGGACTTGAAGATGAAAAGACAAGACAAGAACACAGGCTTAGAAAAAAAAACCCACAAGTGAGGAACTGGTGACTTGCCTCTGTCCAGCTCTGGGCACTGGTATCTGTAGAAGGAAACAGACTGTTCCACATATAAGTATTCCTAGCTAGATGGGCACCTGCATGTGCAACTAAGTGTTCCACGTGCAGTTCTGTCCTCGGATCTGGTAGGAGAACCTTTTTTAAAAAGCTAACATCCCAATGATTGACTGCTTTGGAGGGGGAGCATGGATTCACTTACCCTTCCATGCCAAATAGCAAATTGGTAGGGTTTCTCGTTCTGCTTTTAAGAGCTGAATGTGCACAGCCCCATCTATGCACATGCTCCAGGGGATCCCACAGAACAACTTCTGGCAAAATGCATCAAGAGTTTGCAATCCTGTGTGTGCACAGAAATTGTGTCTGTCTGTGTATATACATATGCACACAGACGTACACAAGCATAGGGCAAAGTTTCTGCACACGCATACATACTTGTGCACACAGGGGTAATAATAAAAGAGTACAGTTGCAGTTTGCATGGATAATCTCTCTCTCTCTCTCTCTCTCTCTCTCACACACACACACCCCCCCCCAAAAAAACGGTACTAGAGACCCATGTGAAAAAGCATCCCCTGTTTTTCAGAAAGGCAACAATCACATTGGCAGTGAGCACATAACCATAGGTAATAACTTCCACACAACCATTTCTCCAAATACACATACATTCCAAAAGATGTGCACACCATCAGAAAACAAAAGTGGTTTGCATACACATCGTGTCTCACCAAAGCTATCAGCACATAGGGCCCCTCCAGAAATTCTTTTTATTGCTCATTCATGACACTTTGTGCCCCTGATGCTATTAAGGCAGTCACACGTGATCCCGCTTTCAGTATTGTTTGTCCCGACAAAGATTTTGTGTGCAGTCACACTGCTTCATTTCAAGCAGTGCATAGCTTGTAACTTCCTCCTGAAATCCCATAGCTTTCTATACCCCAAGCGTTCTGGTTTATTTTTGTCCCAGCTTTGTTGCATGATTGCCCTTTTGGCCAGCAATAATGTGGTAACATTGGGGAAGCATTGCAGAGCAAACTAAAGCAGAATAAACCTACTACTAACGCACTATTGTGTCAAGAACATGTTGCAGAACATACCCACAATAAAAACAACCATCTGGAGGGTCCCTATATGTTATATAAAGCAGCCCAAACCAATTTAACTGCTATTATAGCTGCTCCCAAGATTCCCGGGTTGATACTTTTTGATGTGTTGAATGTTCACAGTTTGACCTTCTCAATAGGGTTTCCAGCTTTTTCAACTATTCTCTCTAGCTGTGCCCTAAACAATAGCTTGATCAGCAGCTGGCAGGCAGCAGGGTGGCCACATGTCAGACTTTACAGAAAATATTCCTCTATTTGGAGGGATGTCTAGTCCTAGTTCAAAGCTTTTAAAAAATCCTAATAGGGAAAGCAGCAGGGGCCTTGAAGTGGCTGGTCAATTTTTAACACCTGGACAGAAAACTCAGCAGGCACATGGGTCATGGTCTTCCTAATTTTGGTGAGATATGTTGTATTTAGATTTAAGTTATAGTAATTATTTCTAAATTTGCATCTATATATCTAAAGTAGCAGTTTTAAATTTAAACAAACCTATACCCCTTTTGTCCTCTGTTTTGGACAACATATAAGGGCCCACCCTAGCAAGCAATAACATTTATGTCCATAATTACCAGTGCCAACTGAAAATTTGGAAATCCAACTTACTTAGCTGCTGTTAAAAAATCACTTGTTGAAGGAAAGGGGTTTTTTTTAAGAAGCAACTAATTTGCATTTGCAGTGTAATAAATGTATTGTCTAGATGACCTGCATAAACTGGTTTCTCTACCATGGCTTCCCACACTGTCAGCTGAATAGAGTAAGAAGAGGCCAAAGCTCTCTTAACAGAAATAAAAAATTAGTAGCCTCTTCAAAGTACAGTTCTCTGAGGTCCATGGAAGAAGCCATGGCCATTAAACCTATTTATTACTGGTTTAGGTTGTAATACAGATGTGTCCCCCTAGGGATATACTTGAAGAAACATGACTGGGTAATCCACACTCAGTATTCACACACTGGGCAACACACAGAAGTGTGTAGCCCATGCATTTACGCACAAACCAGCACATCTATGCAAAGCATGGGCTGATGGCGCTCACACTTGCCCACATAATTCTGACTCACATTCTCAGGGCATATCCACACTATAATTTTTTTTAATCAGTTATAACAAAGATTCAGATGTCATGGCAACCTCCAACGAATTCTGGGAACCGTAGTTTGGTGAGGGTGCCGAGACTTCTTTGTTAGAGATCCCTAACCCCCCACATAAAACTCCAGTTCTCCGGGTCCCCTGGGGAGGCAGGTGTTGATAATGGCCACTCTCAACACAGATATAAAGAAAGCATATATATACATGTACACCCACAGTCAGAGAGTAGCAGGACCCCACAATATGCAAACCATCTAGCCGGACATGTGCACCACATCACCACAACCGCATCAGTCCCACACTTTGCAGCTGTTTCTTGTGGGCCATTGAGTTTTCCCATTGCTGGGCTGGGCTACGGGGACAGAAAGGCAGCCATTTTGGACTGCAGTACAAGGAGGCAACGTTGCTCCTCTTTCAGAGACTTTTATGCTGCTCCCTCCATCGCACACATGCTCTCCCTTGTGGAAGAGCTACCGCCAGGTCAATCTCATACAGAAAGCAATAAACCAGCCCCCATTGCCAGCCTGTCCCAATAAGGGAGAGGCTCTCTGTACACAGCAATGCACTCTCACACTCTGCCTGTGGCGACAGGACAGCACGGGGCATCAATTGCATCACATCACCCTCTCTCCAAAGCCAGCCAGTTTGACAAAGCCCCTTTCATCCTTCTCACCTATGCCCTTTTCTCCTTCCATTGTGGCTTAGACTCAACTATCCCTTATCATTCTAGCTATTCCTTCTCAGCAAGCCCCTATTTTCTCTTTCTGCTCATCCAGTCCAACATATACCCTTCCATCAGTTCACCCAGCCAATTGTCCATGGCCCACATATTTTCCCATCCACCTTTCTAGTTTCCTTCACATTTCTCCCCCCAAGTCAATCCAGCTCAAACATCACATTAAATCAGAATGTATTTCATCAGTAATTTCACCAAAATATGTAGGAAAGCCAGAGACCTAAGTTGCTGGCAATCTCCCATATTTTATCCATCCATGCCGCATGGGTTCTTAAAGTGACTCACCAATTCTTTATGAAGTCGTGCACATCATATTCTCCAAGGCTGATCCATCCTCGTAACAGATTTGTATGTGATCTTGGTGATACTGGCTCCAGTTTGCACCATGGCTACGGTTTGCATCCACTCCGTCATAATCTGTTCATGGGTTCTGTTGGTGAACATCGTCATTAAGCATTTGTCCATTTTCCCTTCCACCCATTTTTCACCTCTCTAGTCCTCCTTCATTAACTTCTTCACATGCACCCTGATGCCTCATTTGTCTTGTACTGCAATTTGCCCAAGAGAGGGAGGGATTAACCAGCGAAATCCAGGCCTGTTGAACCTAGAAGGAGCAACTGGGCCAGACTGGTTTTGGTTGCTCACTACCACCCACCCTTGCATCCTTCCATTAACATTCAACTCTGGTGCTACAAGGGACTCCTGGATGAGGGTTTGGGCCTGTGTTCCCCTGAAAACTCTGTTAAGACCTGGCCCTGCCTCCCATCCCTTTGCATCTCCCCTTGATGGCGATAGAGAGGGAGGTGCATCTCACCTTTTTCCCATTCACAGTGATCTTTTTATTTCTTCTCTCATTTTACATTTCATCTACTCTGCTTCCCCACCAACACTCCATCCTCCCCCCCAACCCTTATCGTCCCCTGGTCTTTGGTCTCTGGGACATTATACTGTCTGCATGAGCTGACATGCCGAGGTTACAGCATGTAATAAAATTATTTCCTTTTCATTTAAAACTTTCAAAAAAAAACCAACAACCTGCATCCAGACTATTATTCACAGGTGGAAAGAGGGTTGGAGGGAGGGACACGGAAGAAGGAAAGCTGGCTTGATGGTGAAACCTGTACTATTTCCTCTTTGTTCCTCTGTTGGCCAGAGAAGACAAGATGGCAGCACAATAGGTAAACACCACCCTAGAATACCAGCACCATCTAGGGGATTCTTCCCTAATCAGCAGAGGAAGAAGATTAACACATGTAGTGCCTGCAACAGATGGCAGGTGGTTGTGGTGTCTGACCTGGAAGAGGATTGCAGGCTACAGGAAGTGTCCCCTTGCCTGCCCTTTGCTTTGAAATCTTAAGGTCTTTCCAGATCGGAGGCTGGGGTGGGAGTGGGAAGCACCTGCTATTAAGTGCTAAATAAAACAATAGACCCAGCACCTATGGCACTACATCAGTCCCCACACCTCGTTGCTGTGGAAGATAGGCATTCCATTGCAGGGGATCAAGAGTGTGTGACCTCTTAAAAAGGGGGGTGGCAAGAAAGTAAAAGGAAATAGGTAAATCAACTAGTGGGATATTTAAACTTCTTAAATGGCAGATTTAGGAAGGAGGGTGAGTGACATGTACTAGCCAAAAGTTCTTGTGACAGTAGCACTATTGCAGTCTAGCCAACACTGCTCTATCACATTTATATCCCACCCTTCTTCCATGGAGTTTGGGGATTATATGGGAATTTATTTGCCACATTTTATCCCCACCATGACCCTGTGGGACTGGTTAGACTGGGAAATAATGACTGGCCAAAAATCACCCTTCATGGTTGTTTGGGGCATCATCATTGGGGATTTGAACTTAGGACTATGGGCCAACACTTCACAGGTTCTTATTACTACTGCAGCTGTGGCAGGGGGCTGCATTTTCCCTTCAACACAGCCTTGCAGACTGAGTACAGAGAAAATGTGATTTTTCACATTTCACATTCACATAGTAATACACTGGTTGAGGTTATTTCATATGTGAAGAAGTCGGAGAGTCACGGATAACTGTTCTACAATTCCTCTGCAAAATCACGACCATCAAGTAATACCCTTATCACCCAACAAAGAAATGATTTACACATACAACCAAACAAACCACAGCTTAGCTCTACATGAAGAAGCCTAGCAGCACTTAAGCTTATGTGCTCCCTCCTTCCTCCTCTCACACATATCAGCTCCTTTCTTGATCTGTCCAAACCATTAAACACTGGTTTCTGATCCTGTTTCACAGCGAAAGTACAAACCATATTTTGCCAGTTCAGGCAAATCAGCCAACAATGGTTTGCCATAAACCAACGAAGAAGTAGGTGGGGATGCCACCTCTTAATGATATATTTGCCTTTTTCTGTGGTTGGTTTTGCCTGCATTGCAATTTTCCAAAGCAATCTTACTGCTTTTGAGGAGTTGGGCTCTGTTTCCTGGATCAAAGAAAAACTCTGGGTGACAAACTTCTGCAGGAACTCTCAGCTAATTTGCAAGTGAGTAATGACAAAGCTTAGATGCAATGGAGGGCCTGTGAACATCTATCACCCACATCTGTTAGGCTCAATGAAGATAACACAGGGCAGTCCAAATCAACTCAGTCTCAACCTTTGCTTCCATATGGATGTTGCCATCCCACAGGATCCAACATCTGCAGTAGGGGTGACTTTTAGAAAAAAACAGTGTTTAATCTCTACAAATGAGGTGCTGTAGTATAAGCGCCCCTGGGAACTATCATCTGGGAATGCCTATGCATTACTCAGAAAATGGCCAAGTGGTTGCAATACCTTAGATATGCTATACCATTTAACATGGAACCAGCAAACCAAATGGAGCCAGTCAGCCACCTAACTCACTTGTCACCAGGAGCTCATTGGCCTGCTGATTTTTTAGAATCACATAAAGTGGAAAGACACTGACAGGCAAACAGCAAGCCACACAATACACGGCTGCTGAGAATGATTAGCTGGTAAGTTATGAGCTGCAAAATGCCTGCATTTAAGCATAACCCAGATCTAAAGTCAGGCAAGTAGCACCTCTGCAGTTTCTAGCCTACCCGTTTAGATTGCTCGTGGCATCTGCGAGGATTGGACGAGGTTGACTTTTTACCTTACCCAAGTCAGTTCCAGCACCTTTTCTTGCCCTGACATTGATGCTTAACAAAAATGTTTATATATCTGAGTGCCACTGAACAGACCACACCAAGGGATCCCCCATTGTCAAAGATGTCCTTGTTTTGAATCTTATTATTCAAGCCCTTGTAAAGTTTCTGCATCTCACTTGGCTTTCTTTATCCTGCAACTGCATCAAACAGCTACTGGGAGGCTGCCCGACAGACTGGACCACGTCTATACAACACATGATAATCTGTCTTGAAACTGGTTTAATTCTGGCTCCCCAGCCAGACCAAAGGATTGTGGGAATGCTTTGCTAAACTGCTCTTAAGTTCTGCAGAAAATGTGAGCTCTGAAGGTTAGTTTGGTTCAGAGCCATGGCAAACAGGTTTTGAAAACACTTTTTTAAGTTTGTACCATAGACAAGGGATAGTATTTAGTGAAGTCAGGCTCACCGCACACACTGATATTAATCAAGCTGAGTTAGCAATATCTATTCACTTCAGTGGGACTTCTCTGAGTAGTACTAGTGTTGGATACCACCTATGGTATGTTTGCTCAGCTGCTTATGCTGCTTCATAACATCTTCTACCGCAGTGCTATCAGCCCAACTTGGAACAGTCGCCTTTTAAAAAGCGGCAGCATCAGCATCATCAACAAAGATTAGTCCACAGCAGGGATGGCTGCTGCCCACGGGGACTGGGAAAGCAGAATGCAGAGTCCAATAGTAGGCAGAGCTGGAGCCAATGAGAAGCAGAGCCACAGCTAACTCTAGCTTTGAGTCTTTCAGGCTAAGGAGGAGGAAGCTCCTGGAGGTTGGAGGTGCAGTATCCCATTTGTCCTAATGGACCAGCCTCCACTCCTACACAGGCCTATTTAATTCTTTATAACATCAGTCACTACACAGAAGCAGCGAAACGATCAAATATATAAGTACTTCTGAGGAAACGGGGGTGGGGGTGGGAGAGCTATGCCACCTATGTAAATGATTCTCCTCTGTCTACCCTAAATGGCACCCTTGAAAGGGATCCCAAGCTTTACGGGAGACAAATTCGTCATCTCAGCCCTTGTTTTTGAGCCAGCTGTTTTTATTCTTTAATGAATCGGCTCCCCCATTAAATGGATTCCGCGTCCTTCCAAGGGGCCCCGGTGGAATTGGGATGCTTCTGCGGTTAGCAAAGAGGCTTCTGGGCCTCCCAGCCACCGACGGGAAATGGCTTTTGGCTGGCAGCACAGGAGGACTGGCCACTCGCCAAATCCCTTGATCTATGCCAGGAACTCCTTGAGCCCAGCCACGGACAAGGATATTGGCAGAGAAAAACGCAGACAGATTGTAGGGGGAACAGGAGCGGTGAGGACAAGGGGCTGTCAGAATTGGTGCCCTCCAGATATGGGAAAGACTGCACACGCACCGCCCTCGGAAGGGCACGTGTAAACCAGACATTATGAACTAGTTTAAGGATGCAATGCCATACACAATTAAACACATTTAAGCCTCATTGAACTCAGCAAGATTTAACTTCTGAGGGGACTTACACAGAATGGTGCTGAAATGCTAAGCTTGGCTGTCATGGCCGTGCCAGCTAAGGAACTTTAGGAAACTTGAGTTTTGTGAAGAAGCCAGTAGCGTTTCCAACCACAAAATTATTTCAGCTACATACTCAGTACTTTTGCACCCAGGTTCATTATCTGGTACTTGGTTGAATGTCAAGTATTTAAAATCTGGTGGTTTTTGCTGTTAATAAACATACAATGCTGCTCCTTGGATCACAAGCCCACACACACACCCCTTACCTTTTTTGATAGGCCATCTAAACACTATTTTTATAAGGCTATGATGCAGCGGAGGCTAAAATGGGGGACAAATCAGGCCATGGAACTGAAGCATTTCATTAAGAGACATTCTTATCTTTCCCCTCATAATTTGAACACAGGTTAAATGTGCATGCCAATCCTGATCAGAGCCTCTTAGAAGCAAACTTAAAACATATTGCACTCCACTAGGCCCCAAGCGTTGGCTCACCAGAAGGAGATCCCACTAATCTTCCACCTCCAGACCAGTCTGAATCCAACCTGCTACCGATGCTGACCAGTCATTAAAAAAAAAAAATAATCAACAACTACAAGTTAGAAGAGGCCAAGGATCACGAACACACAATTCTCATCACTATCATACAAAAAAGAGAAATTCTGGAACAACCTATGTCAACTGAGCTTCAAAACTGTTAGGAAATGCCTCAGCCATACACAGTATATCCAAAGAGAGCTGAAGGTGGCATGGTTGAAACATCATTTCCTCACAATGTAGGTGCTCAATTACAGTGGTACCTCGGGTTACAGATGCTTCAGGTTACAGATGCTTCAGGTTACAGACTCTGCTAACCCAGAAATAGTACCTCGGGTTAAGAACTTTACCTCAGGATGAGAACAGAAATTGTGCGGCGGCAGCGGGAGGCCCCATTAACTAAAGTGGTACCTCAGGTTAAGATCAGTTTCAGGTTAAGAATGGACCTCCAGAACGAATTAAGTTCTTAACCTGAGGTACCACTGTATTTCCATGGACGACTGGCCAAAACAGATTTTCCCACCCGAAGGTGCAAAACCTGTGAATACAAAAATGCTCACCAGGCAATTATGCTTCTATGATACAACTTTCAACTCACCTGACAAAAATCTTCTCGACTCCTGTTTTACGTGTGCTCTTAATCCGACTTCAAATAAGTGCCAGGCTATTTTAGGAGTCTTGAGGCCTAGTTCTGAAGGCCAAAGCAGACATGAGGGTGCAGCCATCCATACTGCCTGTCCTGACTGAAGCTGAAGTGGGGAAATGGGGTGTGTGTGTGGAGAAATTGTATTCTTGCTGTTCTCTGTAGCTTTAAGGCTAA